GGCTGTATCGGTCCGGTAGTTATATAGACCTAACTGTTTACTAAGGCTGTATCGGTCCGGGGGTTATATAGACCTAACTGACTATCTAAGGCTGTGCCGGTCCGGGGGTTATATAGACCTAACGGTCTACTAAGGCTGTACCGGACCGAGGATTATTCAGCATTATCACAGTTTTGTGTGTGTGGTATATGCACAATTATTTACTGCTAATTATAAATTATATATCTCCTCATTAATCAGTAGGGTCTGATACCTACAATAGGGTCGCCTTGTCTACTATCCTTCCTTGGCCCGTGATCTGATACACAGGGTCGATACGTCTAACTGTTGTTAATTACATATCGATATACCTATGTTAGCGGTAGGTATAACATAGATATGATTAATCAGTTCATGTACACGTGCATGTTTTATATATCTATCCCACCACGAAGTCCTAATCGATATTTGTCAATCCGACATAAGCTTATCCACCAAAATGACAGGAACAGGTCGTTTTTGTTTGTGTCGTTCTGGTACAGGTATTTGTTTTTTTTTTTATGTAACATGTTTTGTTTTGTTTTTGTTTCTGCTATTTGTATTTTTGTTTTGTATTCTTTATCCTCACGACATCATAATGGCACCAGCAACCGTGTTTGCTCACATTGATTCCTGTCTATAGACTCGGAGGACTGGGATAAAGAGAAACTGACCTTCTGTATAGAAATATAGAATATAACTATGGGTACGCCTTAGTCCTTAGGGTGATCTCAATTAACATGTCGATACAGCCTCTTTGTCAAGTAGACATCTCCGCGGTTTTGTCCATTAATCTGCAATTTGTTACAAAATCATTTCCCTTATAGAACAAAGTATTGTTTTTATATAATTAAGAGTTGCTAGGGCATTAACACTATCATTGGCTTTTTTATACGTCATAGATTTGTTAATGAATCCATTGACCATTCAAATACAGTTTTCCTATCAGATGCTAACTGTGAAATGGCGATTTTGAAAGGTGTTGCTGAAATTTAGCGTTTGTCCTGTCTGTGATAGGATAAACACTCTGACATGTTTCCCAAATATAGACCAGAATGAAGTAGCTTCCTATGATGATCTAAAATCTGATAACTATCTATTGTTAAACACTAAAATCGGCATTCTGTACCTGTTACCGCCAACCATTCACATCCAGCATCTTTTCTTATTGTCTGTGTTGATTATTATACAGTATTGTATTACAGTATTAGAACGTTTGTTCTAGGTTTCATATCTTTATTGAAAATTTGATGTTATTACCCAATTGGAGTACATCTTGACAGTGATCAGCTTGTGAACACGCCAATTTGTTTTTAACGCACTACCAATTTATGACCATGGTACATATGCTACCTTTAGTTATATGACCTGTCGTGTTTTGTGTGATATAAACTGACGTACTGTGCCGTAGAAATCCACGATAAACAACATATTGATATGTTTGATGATTTGAATTATCACCTGTGAAAGAACTGAGCAAACTTCTGATATACGAAACTTTTTATGCTGAAAAAATCTAAACCCCTCCAGACAGATATTTGTCGAGGTAGAATTAGGTTTACCTGTGTAGTAAATAACCTGTGCTGTGTATAAGTTTATGTCTGGTGTAATAAGCAGTCTAAGGCGATTCAAATTTTGACATTTTCAGGGTTGATTAAATATGAAGTAGATAAGAAATCAATAATAAAATCAATTGATTTCATGGTGAGATATAATTTACCGCTTGATTGGTTTCTAAGTTTGTCGTGGATCTGGACGAACATAATCTGTTTGTAGCGATAACCCGCTTACCCAGGATTAAGTGGGATTAGATAGATTACGTGTTTAATAATGCTTTATAGTTCTTTAGAAGTAACGAATACAGCATTATCACGACATTACAACATATATTGTATGACAGGAATCAGTGCATGCCCCCCCCCCCCACCCAGTAAACCATATATGTTTCCAGTTATGTATATATATTTAGAAAGGTGTCAGATATTATTTGTTAATAGAAATCATTGGTCACACGGCTGAATATCAAAATCACACTGACGTCTGATTTTGATAACAGCTATATGTCCGATATTTATTGGCATCTTATTTAAATGAATATTGAGGCGATATTACAAACAGTTAATAGCTGACCGAAGTGATCTTTTCTTAGTCAGTAGTAAAAACTTTAATCCTAGTCAACTATTCTCTATTCTGGTACCTAGCTTACTTTTTATTTTCTGAAATTAAAATAGATACTTTTTTGTATTTTCTTTTTTATTTTTGAATTTTTTACAGCAGTACAAGAGAAATCACATTTTGAATATTCTGTATTTTTAAATAAACGAGAAATCATATATTTTAGCATATACTTATAATCTTATACATGGCATGTAACTGAAGCAAGGCAGATTCATGATTTCAAGAGTTGAAAAAATGTTGCTTTGTACTGTTTCTAGAGAGAGTGAGAGAGAGAGAGAGAGAGAGCGATAAGAAAAGATGGAGGAAAGGACAGAAAAAAAGAAAATGTACATAAGTAATAACGAATAATTCCTTTTTCATTAAAGTTATATTTTGATAAAAGAAGAAGCTTTCATACATATATTAAATATGAACAAAAAAACCCCAAACAAATGGAACATCAAGTACTAGGCAAAGTTAGTTATATGGCTTTCATCTGTTAATGTGTGGTTTCTAGTAATCTTTTCGCAGGCTGGGATATTTGTTGTTTTGATATATGTAATTTATCTGGTGTATGTGTAGCTTAACTGTTTATTCAAGATTTTTAATAAGTCTCTCATACACACTTACAAGAGGACATAGAAACAGCGAATATTACAAATTACGAATTGTTCGAACGATGAACTTCACATGATAATATCAAACTAGTAGGATATACTTTGAAAACAATTATTGAAAATTGAAATACGGATAAAACAATAGGAGATTTATCTGAACATGATATTTTTATCTTGTAATCTTTTAAGGTAAGTATTCCGACCAAGCAGCAACGTATTTCCTTTTTGAATAAAGTTGATATTTACACCGACGACTTACTACTGAATGTTAAGTCGGTGCTTGACCATAGCGGCAAGGGGGCGATGACCTTAAAATGTTGTAGTGGTGTAAACAAAAGTCATGATTAGAGAAGTGCATCATACCTAGAACATGCGTGTGAAAAAAAGTAGGACAAAGTCAGAGGTTACAAATCTCCATTCTTATGTTAATGAAAGTAGTTCATTTCCTCGAATCCATTATAACAATATTGTATTAATGTCACCAACAAAGACCTGTTTCAGGTTCACACAGCTGCCTGGATAAGTATCACGAGGTCGGGTAATATAAAGAAATCTGAACGCTTTCCGCCCTGTAAAATCTACGGTGACTATAACATAATATGTTTATAGCTTTTGGAGAACAATACCTATTTTTTCTTTACCAAGAACGAGTAAATTTAAAATCAATAAAGTAAATATTTAGGAAACAATTGTGTATTGTTATATGTGATGTTGTAGGTAAACATGATTCAGCATTATCGAAATAGATTTAAATTTTCTATGGTGAATGTATCGTTATTGATACATGCACCCCATACTAAAACCTCTTAGACTGGAATAAGTTCTGTGTTACATATACAATGTCAACATTTTGATAAGAATTCATAAAATATGTACACAAAACACCTTCATGTGTATTTAATTATATTGCACAAAACAAATGGATTGGCCAGACTCCCGGCCGATATATATACAGTGCCTTGTGATATCATTCATTGCTTAAATGACCTAATGTGCCCGAATATATTTAAAGAAGTGATCTTAGATATTTACCAAATTCCAAAATCATTTTATAGACGGTTTGAATTTTGTTTTTTTGATTAATTTGTTTAATGTTTATATTTTGTCTTCCCTTAGAAACAGTACACTGCATCACATTTCATTACGCACAGGCTATAAATAGATACACGTGTGACTTATGAAGAGTTTGCAGTCCAGATGTATATTAAGAATATATTGTTATCCTTAAGTGAAAGATAGATATTTCTGTACAATATAACTGGGCTATTTTAATGTGTGGTTTTTATACGCCCTGTGATATGTGAAGTTAACAAATTGAAGGAAGTAACGTAAAACAAATCTGTAAAACTTCTCCCTTTTCTGATAAATTATTTCGTTTGTCAAATAATGACGGTTTTAACAACATACTTGTCATATATTTAAAGATTCTGATAGACATGCATATTGTAGCCAGTATCGTACATACACGTGCAAGGCCAAAGGTCACAGAATTATCTGAAAGCAAGTTTTTTAACTCCAACAAAGAGGAAATGGATCTATTCCAATCCGTGCAAAGCCTTTTGAATTAAATAAAAAATCATCTATGACCGTTGAGCATACAATCTAATCCATATCACCAAGTTGGTGTTAAACGCCTCAGGTATGTGATTTGATATAGTCTCGCCTAAACCAAATATTTGTCTTCGTTCAATACGGACGAGAGTAAAGGAGAAAGTGTTATCACTGCCAAACGTCAACAAGGTGTTAAGATCTGATGGTCTGGGTGTGATTGTACTTCAAGTCGTTATTGTTTACCGTTTGTCACAGAAACTTCGGTACACATCTATGTACCTATCTCGTCCTGTATCAACAATCTAAAATAGGACCAAGTATTTAAATGAGCGGACCACAGAGAGGACGAGCAGATTTAGCATGCAGCAAATTTGTAATAAATATATTCACCGAGAACAGCCTGTCATCAAATGAGAACAGATAAAACAATAAACAGTTTCAATATCGGTACCAAACAACACGAATATAAATAGATAATAATTTACTCTTTGTCCCCGTTATAAAAATGTGATGAATTGGTGCGAGTGATATTTGTTAGAGATGATGTTTAAAAAAGACATTTAAATGGCTACCACTATCAACAGACAACGTCTTGTGATAATGAAACTTAAGATAGATATTTGTCAATAATAGATTTTTTTTGTCCTTCCAATGAAGGTTCGGAATGTCACTTCCGGTACCGCCATCTCGATGATGTTATTGAGAGTGATCAGACTCATCAGAAGCGGGCGATATTGGAGGCCCCGCTCCGCTACGATCACCTCGAAAAAGAACAGAGGGAAACAGTAGGAAAGTTGTTGATGGGTGGTCTGCCTGTGGCTGACATCCCCAAACTCTCTCCGAAAACTGTCAGGCTTTACGTCAGTTCCGCCGGATATGGTACGTCCTTAAATCTGGGAATATATAATAGATTAGCAAGTTTCTTAAAAGCTATCGTCTTTACAATGATATTTGTGCTATTGACAACGCTAACTGTCCACAGTAAATTGTCACATAGAAAATGAGTACAATATTTCATGTTCATGTTACAAGATGGATATCGTGTTTCTGCCTTTGTTATCACGCGGTTGTTAAGGAAACGAACATAACAAGAGTTCATTATGTTACAGATACGGAGGCTGAGAGGACAGCGTTCATGCTGCACGTGTATCCTGATCTGCGCGAATATTGCCGAGATCAGTATGGTGTCGACTTCCAGGTAAAGCCGCTTCCAATATAATTAACACAGTAGGAGTTGGGGAAATAGTGAGAATGTATAAAAAAGACATAATGTAGGGATTTTTTTAGGTGGATTGACTATGATAATCATTCATATTGAAAATTGCCATTTTGTTTTACACGCAGGCTGTTGACCTGAAGTGGGGAGCTAACACAGAAGGTATGGTTCCCATGCCAACTGAAAATATCTGTCTTCGTGAAATTCGTCATTGCCGGCAAACCTCCATGGGACCAGTCTTCTTGGTATGTAATCTTCATCATTGTACACCTCTCTATCTTCGTTATACTGTTTTGTTAATGTCGATCTCAAGTATAAGCCAGAGAAGTTGTCTGCTTGTCAAAAGAAAAAGACCGATGATCTGGTCAAGAACATATATTCGTTATCAATATATTACTAATTAGTTAAAAGAATAACCGTGGGTCACTTCACTTCTCTTTTTCTTCCTGATTCTTACAGGTTACAGATGTGTTGAATAAAATCATTTTCTATTCTCGGTTTTACTGATGTTAATTATTTCTATACAGGGGTTGGTTGGTCAAAAGCACAGACGTTATCTTCCTCCTGAAGAGATACCCGGGTCAGAGTTCGAGAGAATCTACGAGGCTTTGGTCAACAACGGCCATGACGTCACTCTGTTGGAGACGTACTACAGAGAGGATAGAAACGTCACACCAGTATTACGTCGTTTAACCGACCCTGTCGACGTCATGGGTAAGTTAACATCAATATCAAATTATATTTACATTTGTCGCCTCAATACAACAGTACTGGAAACCCAGTGAGACCGTAAAGGAAACTGCTTTGTTTTGATGTGACAATGATATTGTCAAATGTGCCACATTTCGACTCTTCCCATAACGCATTGACAACGACTCTTCCCATAACTCATTGACAACGACTCTTCCCATAACTCATTGACAACGACTCTTCCCATAACTCATTGACAACGACTCTTCCCATAACTCATTGACAACGACTCTTCCAACGACTCTTCCCATAACTCATTGACAACGACTCTTTCCATAACTCATTGACAACAACTCTTCCCATAACTCATTGACAACGACTCTTCCCATAACTCATTGACAACGACTCTTCCCATAACTCATTGACAACGACTCTTCCCATAACTCATTGACAACATTATGTATGACGTCAATATAAATGTATGTCCTTCACCATACACAGGCATGCATAATACAAATATTGATTGAGTGTTGAGCCATTAGTCCCTTTGCTAATTAACTATGTCTGAAAATTTACTTTTAAAATCCATTCTTTTTTACTCCTTCCAACCCTAATCAGCTGTCGTTTGGCACGTATGCCAAAACATCCTTTGAATTCATGTGCATTTGAATATCTGCTTATAAAAAAATAGAAATGATCGGATTAAATTACAAAGAAAATCATCAATACAGTGCATAGTTGTGATGGATAATGTGCTTTAATGATGCTATATATAATTGAAGGTAACGACATCACATGTATAATAACTGTCGTTTTTTCCTTGTAGGATGTACCATCCCTGCCAGCGCCGACACTTTGGCTAGGTTACAACATTTACTAACGACCGGGGCAGATCTGTGTCTTAAGGAAAAATCAATCAACGAGACAGCCTATCAGAAATACCAAGCTTCAGGTATAACTTCTACAATAATCTACAGAGTACTCTATAATTACAATCAGTCCATTTTAGTCGAGTTTGAAATCACGCCATAAAAACATTACGGACTGTCAACAAAGTCTGACAGCAAAATGAAACTTTTATTTAGGTGATTGATTTCTCTTACTTTTTCAGATTTACACATGGAAGGGCTTTACGAACTGTCATCTGAATGCAGAGCAGATAAAAGCTTGATTTATATTAGGAATTTCAGCAATACGGACAAGATAATGAAAGACACTGCCAATAGCGAATACATAGATATTGATCCGATCACCAATGAAGTTGATACTGCAAGTGTACAGGAACTTGATGACCTCAAATCAACATTGAAATATCTTCTTCCTAGTGCTAATATTACTGAAACTGAAATCGAATGGACAGGAAATGGTTTGAAAAATCCAAAACGGGAGCAATATCTGCAAACTTTATCTAGAAAAATGTTCACCTCTGTGAAAACGCTAGTCGACAGAGCAATGGAGAAACGGGACCCTTTAGTAGAAGATGAACTTTACAACGAAGTGTTACAACACTATAATATTGCAACTAAAATGTGTCCTAACTTTCATGGTCGCACGGATATCCTAGCTGCCGTCAAAGAGTATTTGCTGTCGGAAACAGACCAGCCTTTAATCATCACCGGCGAAGCTGGGAGTGGAAAGTCATCAGTCATGGCAAAAATCGCCTTAGACATCAACGTTGCGATACAGAACAACGATCTAGCTATGAGAACATCCATCATCTGTAGATTTTTAGGGAAAACTCAGAAGACGCTGTCAGCTCAGCAGTTGTTATTCTCTGTGTGTCACCAACTTGCTTTCGCCATGGGGAAATATCGTCATGAAGTCCCTAGTGATTATAAGACGTTAAAGCTCTATTTTATTGATCTACTTCAACGTGGCGAGTTTGGGGGTATGATCATTATTCTGTTAGATTCGTTGGACGTTTTGTCTACATGTGATAATGGACACAAACTGGAATGGCTCCCTTCTCGTGTAGCAGCCAACATTAAAATTGTTGTCACCACAAGTATGGAAAGCAAGGACACCTTACAACGTTTAACAAATAAATGTCCCACAAATATCTACGAACTAACACCATTCAGTTCCACGGACTGTGAGGATATCGTCAAACTCCTGATGAATGCCCGCGAACTCGCAGTGACGTACGACCAATGGAAAACAATAAAGGATGCCTTTAAAGAGTCTACACTGCCATTGTATGTCACATTGGTCTCCAGTGAGGTTTGTCGATGGAGGTCGTTCGATGACCCAAATAACACACTCTTGGGATCTTGTGTCGAGGAGATCGTGGAGTCCATGTTAGATCGACTGGAGCAGAAGCATGGTCTAACTCTTGTATCCACAGTGTTAGGCTATATCACGGCTTCGAAGGCAGGACTTAGTGAGAACGAACTTCTCGATATACTTTCAGTCGACGATGTGCTCTTAAGTAATTTATACGTAGAATGGCACCCACCTATTAGACGATTCCTTCCGAGGCTATTCAGTGTCATCAAACACGAACTAGACGGCTATATCGAAGAACGAGAGATGGATGGCATTTTAGTCATGTTTTGGAAATGTCCCTTATTTTCATGTGTGGCAGAAAACCGCTATCTCAGCGACGAGAAATTCTCAAAGCAGCTTCATTCAAACATTGCTGATTACTACATGGGGAAGTGGAGTGGAGCAAGGAAAAAACCATTCCACTATCCATCGGTGATCTTGACGAAACGGAATATTGCCAACTCCGAGAGTGAAGCGTGTCGATTACTCCCAAAGCAACCTCACTTATTTGGGACGTCAGAAGTGGATGAACGATACAATCATCGTAAGATGACACAGCTTCCATACAGTTTAATGAAGAGCGAACGATATGACGACCTTCGCGAACAAACTTTCTGCAACTTCGATCATTTGTATTACCGCATCAAGTCATCTTCGTTGCAACAGCTGTTGACAGACATCGACATGTTTGAGGACAGACAGACAGCGTTGGTTGGTGATGCTCTAAGAATGTCAGGATCAGCCCTGGAGATGGATTTAAACGCGTTAGGAGTTGAGTTAAGTGGACGACTGATTCCACACATCAAGACCTATCCGTACATCAAACAGCTTATACGTCAATGCGACCTTGCAGAACAGAGGTTATGTCCATTGGTGCCCAAATGTCAGATATACAGTGCCCCGGGTGGTCCGCTGCAGTACGAATGCGACGTAGGCGGAAACGTGTATTGTCCAGTAGATATCGATGTATTCTCAAGCGAGGATGGCATTCTGTTGACGGCGAAACCTTATTACAGCTCAAGGGTTAGGGTGTGGGAATTATCGCGAGGTGATCCACGCCCAGACATGATGATGCCAGTAGGAGAAATTCACCCAACAAGAAACGGCAAATACCTGAACGTTTTCCAAAACGATCGCTCAGTCAAAATCTTTAAGTCAGACTGTGGGGAATTGCACGGAAAAGTTGAATATGGACTTGGTACCATGTCTGACCTGGAAGTGTCCAACAAGTATCTGGTGTTTGCAATAGAAAAAGGAGCAGGTCCATACGTCATTGATCTGACAAGGTGCGTCCTTCTGCACAAGTTCAGCTTCCATACGCACGCGGTTGCAATCAATCCTAATGATACTCATTTAACATTTAACTCCGGGAGAACGTTGATACTGTATGAATTACCTCTTATGGAGAGACGATGCGTGGCACAAACAAGTGACGTCCCACAGGATATTATCTTTATCAGTAAGTCTCTCACATGTTTTGTCCTCACCCGGAGCAAGATGGTTGAATCTGTATTCTTTGATATTTTCAATAGGAAATACAAAACTAACTGTATTCTTACGGATCTTGAGACAAAAGAGTGCATTCTTTCACACACCGAGAAATACTTACTGGTGCGATCTGCAAAATGCTTGCACCAAGTGAATGTTGATACGGAGAAGATCATCAGAAAGTATCAACAACTCCCAAACGGAATATTTGTTGATCCATTGTCTCAATACACTGGAGCTGGATTTACACCTGATGATGAACTTATAGTGGCATCACGTTACACGTATCTTGCAGTTTGGTGCGCCCATAATGGCGAGCCACTTCGTGTTCTTCAGGCGTCTGTGTCTCCCATCACAAAGATGTTCACATCAGAAGCGGTGAACAAGTGCGTCAGTCTTCTGGAAGATAATTCGTTTCAGGTTTGGAATTTAGACAACTTAGATTCAGACATTCTCCATTCCAACGAGGTTTTTCCAGGCCCTGTGATAGGTTTAGCCGTCTCATCTGAATCTGGACAGGTAGTGGCATATGAAAGTCGAGTGCCTGAGGCGAAGGTGATGAGCATGGACGACGGTCGAGTAACAGATATTATTCAACATAGTCTAGAATCAGAAGACCAAATCAAAGAAGTATCATTTTCACCAAACGGTCGGTACATACTCACCCGTGCATATCGAACACCAGACCAAGATGATGACAATGCTGAGTGGAAGACTTTAAGAGATGACATTCTCTGGGACATGGCAGCCAACAGGAAGGTATATCACCTTCAGAATAATAGGTTTGTAGTTTTCAGTAAGAACAGCCAGCTATGTTTGATGACCGCTTGTCACAAATATTCACAATTCGACTGGACAGAAAACGTCTACAACCTTGTCCTTCTTCAACCAGACTCGGGCAGCAGTGCATCTCTTGACTTTCCAAAAAACACGGAATTTGTTTCTGATCCAAAAATTCTAACCACAGATATGACCAACTATTTCATGTGTGTCGTGCAGACCTGTATGAAGAAAGAGAGTCCGGAATCTTTTATGGAGTCGGTTCGCTGGCATGAAATACGCCTTCTTGTCAGAGATCTCTCAAATGATGGGAATGAGTGTATATTCCTAAGAGTTCAGAATGCTTTACCGGACGCAAACGAAACATCACAGTTTCTTGACGCTTTTCCCGTTGAGAATGACAATGTCTTTCTCATTTATGGAAATAATGTGGAGAGCTACACGTTCGACGCCACGTTGGGTATTGTCAGACCACAGACCATTGAAAAGGGAGCATTGCTATACAACGTTGAGAAAGAGGTTTGTCTCAAACATATTCCATCTTTCCTTGAACCAACCACCGACATTAACCACATACAATTTTCTTCCAAGTTTAGCGTTGTTCTCGATGATAAGACGAACGTTTACAGCGGGAGTAATTACATGACAAAATGTCGGTCAGAAACGGAGTTCGCTCCAAACACTGCACGCTTGGCATTGGATGGAAGATATGTTGTTGGACTTTCATCCAATTACAGGGAAGTTATTGTGACACGTTCTTATGATGGGTTTTTGAAAGGTCACATGTTCGTGCATGGACGGGCAACTTGTTTAACTGTAGGTGCTGATGATACAACAGTGGTTGTTGGGTGTGAGGATGGGCGAATTTTGGTCCTTTGTCTTATCTTAGAACTTTCTGACCCAGTTAAAGATTTGATTGAACGCTTTCCTAGTCGACAACACGTACCAGATTCGAGCAGATCTTGCGAAAAGCATCTCATTAAAGAGGATATCCGACGGATGACGTGTAAGACTCCGGACCTGGTGAGATTGTCAGCACGCATACAGAGCGCCAGGACAGAGAACAGACGACCTCCTTCACGGCAAATGATATCCACCGCGGTGAGGTTAACGAGGCAAACTAGTCAAGCGAGGTCTGAAGCCTGTGTCCTTCAGTAGGGAAACAGGTTTTGAAAATGTAAGCAAATATGAACAGTAGTTAATTGAACAGATTAGAGAAATACAATTCACTACATGCGTAATTTAAACCTTGGTAAGCATCATATTATGAAAATGCTAACCTAACTTGGAGATAACTGCAGCATTTACGCTGAAATGAAAGGTGGCTGTGACTTCTTTAATCGTCATTTAGGAATATATCTATATGATGTATTAGTGAACAAGCTTCTTTAAGGCGTTTGTTTTAAAGCATACCTATTTGAGATAATTGTCCGAATTATATACTAAATTATCAAAATAGAACATTGTTCTCTATTTGTTCGTATAATCCATAAAAACAAACGTAAAATTGTGATTTTGTGATAAATGGGGTCTTTAACAAAAACCATTGCAATGTTATAAAACGGTACCTCTCATATTTTTTCTTTCATTTTCCTATCCCACGTTTATTTCAATGTCAGAAAAGGAAGAAATTACTCTCATTTTTAAGCCGACTTGCACTTTCACTGCCAATTTTTTTTCCAATTCAAAAATTTCCATATTTTTTTTGTTTTTGTTTTTTATATATATATATCATTTACAAACTAGACGACTATTAAATTCCCTGGATCAGGTTTTTCTGTGAATCATTCATATCATTAGTCACATAAAGTCTGTAACATACTGTAACACCTTTATTACATAAATTTATACGTACTTCTGGTTTTGCATATATGGACTCATCACTTCATCCAGTGTAATGATTTAGCTGTTGAAAATTGTATACACAATTGTATTACCTATGCTGTTGATGAATATTTGACACATTCAGGACACCATCCTTAAGGGTAGTAAAATGCTAGAGGATAATACTCAAGTCTGTGTCATTAACACAGATAATGTTGAAACTCTATAAACTGGAGTGATGTTTTTCATCATTGCGCATTGTGATATTTCAGTTTTTCAAAATTCTGGTGATTTTCATACTGCTAGGTATGTCGACCTTTCTAGTTATATTTTCCTTCATCGGTTATAAAGCATTAAGGAATTGTAACTAACTATATCGGACATTAAACAGTTTCAACGCGATTTAATTGATTGTAAATATTGTGTTTAAATAGAACCAGTGTCTGCAAAATGTGGCTGACAAATATTTGCAGAGACCTGCATAATAGTTTTTTTTTTCACGTGTCAACATTATATATATAAATTCAATCTGTGCCAACATAATACATATAAGCCGTATTTGATGTTCTTATAAACATCACCAACTGACATTTAACATTAAATTTTACTTACCCGGTATTTGATAATGAAAAACGTAAAAAAATTCTTTACAAAGTAATAGATTTCATTACCATATCTGCATTGGTTTATAATTTCATCAAATGCGGCACTTGTATTTTTATTAGCTGTGATAAATGAAACAGAATAGTTTGAAATAAAATATGTATTATATCTGTCTAATCTATAAAAATATGTATGTGTTCATGTTTATATAAATGCCTAGTATGGACAGTAAAACGGATTTGTTTGGACTATACTGCTGCCGCCTCCATATCCCTCTGTTATGTCCAGCCGTATCCCCCCGTTATGTCCAGCTGTATCCCCCTGTTATGTCCAGCCATGACCCCCTGTTATATCCAGCCGTATCCCCGTTATGTCCAGTCGTATCCCTGTTATGTCCAGCCTTATCCCCTGTTATTTCCAGCCTTATCCCCCCGTTATGTCCAGCCTTATCCCCCCGTTATGTCCAGCCTTATCCCCCCGTTATGTCAAGACTTATCCCCCCGTTATGTCCAGCCTTATCCTCCTGTTATATCCAGCCGTATCCCCGTTATGTCCAGCCTTATCCCCCATTATGTCCAGCCGTATCCCCCCGTTATGTCCAGCCTTATCCCCCCGTTATGTCCAGCCTTATCCCCCCGTTATGTCCAGACGTATCCCCCCGTTATGTCCAGCCTTATCCCCCCGTTATGTCCAGCCGTATCCCCCCATTATGTCCAGCCTTATCCTCCTGTTATATCCAGACGTATCCCCGTTATGTCCAGCCTTATCCCCCCGTTATGTCCAGCCTTATCCCCCCGTTATGTCCAGCCTTATCCCCCCGTTATGTCCAGCCTGATCCTCCTGTTATATCCAGCCGTATACCCATTATGTCCAGCCTTATCCCCCCGTTATGTCCAGCCGTATCCCCCCATTATGTCCAGCCTTATCCTCCTGTTATATCCAGACGTATCCCCGTTATGTCCAGCCTTATCCCCCCGTTATGTCCAGCCGTATCCCCCCGTTATGTCCAGCCGTATCCCCCCATTATGTCCAGCCTTATCCTCCTGTTATATCCAGACGTATCCCCGTTATGTCCAGCCTTATCCCCCCGTTATGTCCAGCCGTATCCCCCCGTTATGTCCAGCCGTATCCCCCCGTTATGTCCAGCCTTATCCCCCTGTTATGTCCAGCCTTATCCTCCTGTTATATCCAGCCGTATCCCCTGTTATGTCCAGCCGTATCCACGTTATGTCCAGCCTTATCCCCTTGTTATGTCCAGCCGTATCCCCCTGTTATTTCCAGTTGTATCCCCCTGTTATATCCAGCCTTATCCCCTTGTTATGTCCAGCCGTATCCCCCTGTTATTTCCAGTTGTATCCCCCTGTTATATCCAGCCTTATCCCGTGTTATTTCCAGCCGTATCCCCCTGTTATGTCCAGCAATATCCCCGCGTTATGTCCAGCCATATCCCTGTTATGTCCAGCCGTATCCCTGTTATGTCCAGCCGTATCCCTGTTATGTCCAGCCGTATCCCCGTTATGTCCACACAACACTAAAGTTCTGGTTATTATTGCTGGATATTTCAATACAAATTTATTATGATAATTACTATTTGATCTGAATCGATGTTAACATACTGTATTCTTATTGTAAAGTCTGATATCAAAATTATGTTGTATTTTATATGATACTAGTATTGTGATCTCAATGCAGCTCATCCAATGGAACCTGATTAAAATACCTACAACCTGTTGCTGGAGTTTTGTCCATTTGTTGATTATGTGATGAAGGATTGATACTATAAGATTTAGGTCCACCTCTCTGATAAAAATTCTAGTGAATCTTAAGATTTATTAACAGAATCAGTTCAGACTAAACATGCTGTATTTATAGACACATTCTTCACCTTCTATTTGGACCCGTCCTACTCTTGTAGGATCATGACCTGAAGTGGCATTCAATGCTATATCGTGTAAAGATGTAAGAAACGAGTACACATGGGTTGTATGAATTATTTTGAATTTTGGGTCCTTTTAGTCAATCCAATGTGACCAACACTTCATTTAAGTAATCCTGTCACTTATTTCACATAATCTTAATAGTAAGAGTTGTATTGAACCCTGATAAAAATATTATACAAAACATTGAATCTTTTAACAGGATTTACAGACTTTGACTGCATATGTACAGGGTTACCAAAGTATACACAAAGTGAATGTTCATCAGTACCTCCATTACAGGACTGTTAATAGTTATCAGTGTTATCAGTCCGCGTAACTTGAAATCATGATTACAGCTATAGTTAGCCCGTTGTGACGGTTCACCTAATGGTCGATCTCTCTACCATCATACAGGCATCGCGATGGCTAGCTGGTGGAGAATTTATCCCCCACAAAAAACACATCATTTCAAACATCTTCATCTGTGGAGTTTTGGTCTTGGTCACTTGCACACTATAATATAGAAATATCAATATATCAATATATTAATTAGCAGTCATCTGTATTTGAATATGTTACCATGTTGTGAAGAAATATATTCCAGGATTTGCAAAAAAGGTAATGCATAGCTTTTCATTATTGTTGTATACATCAAGTATCATTCAATGGCACAAAACACATCAAGAAAATACAAACATAACAACATAATCCTAATCCAAACTTAAATTCCATAAAACTAGGGTAAAACGTCAACAAAAGAAAGATTTACACAGAAACACCTGAAAAAGTATAAGGAGAATAAGACCAGGTGTTCCAGAAGAGTAAGTTAAGCGTCTTCAGCTACATCGAAGACATCCGCCATGTAAACCTTGGTCAAACAAAATCATACATTCTACAAAACATAGCTTACCTCCTCCAGATTCTGGTAGCAGCCCATCTTAAATCTAATGATATCTCCCCACAACATCAACTGTTTACAGGTTGGGCATTTTCCTTCCACCGGAATCATTTCTTTTGTCTCTTCTTTAGACTCAACCAGAAACCTTTCAGATAAACACACGATATGTGAAATCATCGAACATTTGGGATGGATGCAGCTCACTGTTGTGTCATCACCCTGAAACAATAACACAAAGTAGGATATGACAGACTGATGGCTGTTCTATATTTTTAAAACATTATTTTCTTTAAAACAATTGTGAAACAAGTTTTTCCAACTTATGTTAATCACTCTTGTTGTCCCAGATGTAAACTCGTAAGGGGTCTAACTGTGATAGGAAACTGGAGTACCCGGGGAAACCCACCTCATACTTTTCATGTCTGATACAGGAATCGAACGTCGCACGTCTAAGTGAAAGACGAGTTTGTTACCACTGTGTCACTGAACATCTCTATCTGTTCTATTCATATATACCATGCAAAAACAGGTGTAATATTTGAAGGAATTTCTATAGAATGACAAGAGGTCCTTTTCAACAAAAAAATAGTTCACATTGCAGGAAATTCATAATCATCCAGATCTTTCTTGGTGATGTCAACGACAATGGAGAAGGTAGTTTTCTAGATGGCAAACTGGTATGTATGTGTAATGATAGAATAATAAAGAATGAGAATAAAAAACACATCATAGAATTGATAACACTACAAGACCATAAATTACAGGAAGAAATTGGTGAAAAAAAGGGAGGATATATGTATTTATTATGTATGTAGTCCATCATAAATGTTCACAAGCAAGGGGACATAACTCTTAACATCCAGAAAATAAAGTACAAGTAAACTAGCATTAACAAGTATTCTGTTAACATGATTTCAAGCTTAAGGCAGTAAATAATTGCTACAAAATTTCAAAACAATATACTGATGCTTGCTTTGTTGTAAGCTTAATGGGCTATTTCCTAACAGAATCCTTAGTAATGCCATGCGCAGACTGACAGTGGGGTGGTGCCATGCGCAGACTGACAGCGGCGTGGTGCCATGTGCAGACTGACATCGGTGTGGTGCCATGCGCAGACTGACAGTGGCGTGGTGCCATGCGCAGACTGACAGTGGCGTGGTGCCATGCGCAGACTGACAGCAGGGTGGTGCCATGTGCAGATTGACAGCGGGGTGGTGCCATGCGCAGACTGACAGCGGCGTGGTGCCATGCACAGACTGACAGCGGTGTGATGTTATTTAATGCAGTCATCCTAGAAGAATATTGGTGTGGTGACGAATATTCTCCACAACGCTGACATTCATATATATATTAATGATCCAGAAGTTTTAATTATCAATGAAAACTTTGATTACCTTTGCGTTTGTGTGTTAGCACTACAATATCATAGTCAATTTTACAGGTCATTATCTGTCCTGACTTTGCATGTGTCACATAACTGTAATTACTTCTAGAATAATAACACGATCTCCAACATCTGTTGGTGCCAAAGTGACATTTCTATATTTATCATTTGGATGACTCTGATCACACAAAAAATACTAGGATGATTCCACATCTGCACAGCAAACTAAACCTGACATTTATATCATCTTTTAAATGTGTTATATAATTGTTCGCGATGCAGATGTGACAGAGAGTAATGACCAAACTGTTCTGCTATCTGTGGCCTAAATTAATCCAAACCATTTGTATATAATTAGAAATTTGACATTTCAGTGTTTAGTGGATTTACTGATACGTCAGTTCATCAACCAGTTGAAAATTTGTGATGTATTCATATACACAGTTACAAGGAGAGACGAACACCAATTCAGCTGCTTCATTACTCATTGTAGATAAATTACAACCATACTTGTAGGTCTAAAACATCACATACTCAAAGTGAACATTAACCTATATCAGAGTTATTTATAATCAGACATGGGATTCACAACCAGTTTTGGTGAGTAAATATGATTTATGTCTCATTTGTATAATTATACTATAAACACACTGACAAAACTTAGATGTAAAATGACCTAAGTGTACCCAACGAGCAACTTTCATCAAATTTATTGCAGTGTTTTGTAAATATTGTGTCATCTACATTTTATCATGACCATGTGTAAGACAAGCTATATGTTCAACATGCTATCAAGCATAAATAAATCCAATTAATATTATTATCATTAGATATGGATACTGTGTGTGTACTACTAACCATTGTATTCTATTTCAATCCTACATGGATTTTATAATTACTTCTTCGACTTACAAAATTGCATCTCTAAAATGAGTTAAACAAATTTGATTTTAATAGCTCTTGTCAGCATTTATGGAATGTTAAATAAAATTTATCAGACATTTTTAAAGTGATAATTCATCTGTGGAAAATAATTGCTTGTAAGCAGATGACTCAGAAGTATCACAAAACCAGTCATCCACTACAACACAATATATATAACCATGATTCACTTCTCATATTAAGTCGTAATATCATGTTGTTTACAATGATATATTTTCTAGTCATGGTACATATATCTATGATGAAATTTTTGTAAAATGAAATAATTGTACCCGTTCAGGCGTAACTGACTAAACTTTTATACTCACAAGTACTTTTCCTACTTTTAGCAAATATAAAATAGGGACATCAACATTGTTCTGCTAGTGATTCTAACACAATAAGAAACCATGGAATCAAGATAGTATTGTTCAGTTCTCTGATTGCCTGCTAATCTGACTAAATAGAACTCCTATGAACATCGAGGTATCTGTCTGAGACTCCAGCCATAGCCTACAAATCAATAACCACCAACTTTAGTATTTGCCAAGTTGCCATGTTAACATCTATTTCCACCAATTTCAGTATTTGCCAAGTTGCCATGTTAACATCTATTTCCACCAATTTCAGTATTTGCCAAGTTGCCATGTTAACATCTATTTCCACCAATTTCAGTATTTGCTAAGTCGCCATGTTAACATCTATTTCCACCAACTTCAGTATTTGCTAAGTCGCCATGTTAACATTTATTTCCACCAATTTCAGTATTTGCTAAGTCGCCATGTTAACATCTATTTCCACCAACTTCAGTATTTACTAAGTCGCTTTGTTAACATCTATTTCCACCAATTTCAGTATTTGCTAAGTCGCCATGTTAACATCCATTTCCACCAACTTCAGTATTTGCTAAGTTGCCTTGTTAACATCTATTTTCACCAACTTCAGTATTTACTAACTTGCCTTGTTAACATCTATTTCCACCAACTTCAGTATTTACTAAGTTGCCTTGTTAACATCTATTTCCACCAACTTCAGTATTTACTAAGTTGCCTTGTTAACATCTATTTCCACCAACTTCAGTATTTACTAAGTCGCTTTGTTAACATCTATTTCCACCAACTTCAGTATTTACTAAGTTGCCTTGTTAACATCTATTTCCACCAACTTCAGTATTTACTAAGTCGCTTTGTTAACATCTATTTCCACCAACTTCAGTATTTGCTAAGTTGCCTTGTTAACATCTATTTCCACCAACTTCAGTATTTACTAAGTCGCTTTGTTAACATCTATTTCCACCAACTTCAGTATTTACTAAGTTGCCTTGTTAACCTCTACTTCGGCAAACTTCAGTATTTGCCAAGTTGCCATGTTAACATCTATTTCCACCAATTTCAGTATTTGCTAAGTTGCCATGTTAACATCTATTTCCACCAACTTCAGTATTTACTAAGTCGCTTTGTTAACATCTATTTCCACCAACTTCAGTATTTACTAAGTTGCCTTGTTAACATCTATTTTCACCAACTTCAGTATTTACTAAGTCGCTTTGTTAACATCTATTTCCACCAATTTCAGTATTTGCTAAGTCGCCATGTTAACATCCATTTCCACCAACTTCAGTATTTGCTAAGTTGCCTTGTTAACATCTGTTTTCACCAACTTCAGTATTTACTAAGTTGCCTTGTTAACATCTGTTTTCACCAACTTCAGTATTTACTAAGTTGCCTTGTTAACATCTATTTCCACCAACTTCAGTATTTGCTAAGTTGCCTTGTTAACATCTATTTTCACCAACTTCAGTATTTACTAAGTCGCTTTGTTAACATCTATTTCCACCAATTTCAGTATTTGCTGAGTCGCCATGTTAACATCCATTTCCACCAACTTCAGTATTTGCTAAGTTGCCTTGTTAACATCTGTTTTCACCAACTTCAGTATTTACTAAGTCGCTTTGTTAACATCTATTTCCACCAATTTCAGTATTTGCTAAGTCGCCATGTTAACATCCATTTCCACCAACTTCAGTATTTGCTAAGTTGCCTTGTTAACATCTATTTTCACCAACTTCAGTATTTACTAAGTCGCTTTGTTAACATCTATTTCCACCAATTTCAGTATTTGCTAAGTTGCCTTGTTAACATCTATTTTCACCAACTTCAGTATTTGCTAAGTTGCCTTGTTAACATCTGTTTTCACCAACTTCAGTATTTACTAAGTTGCCTTGTTAACATCTATTTCCACCAACTTCAGTATTTGCTAAGTTGCCTTGTTAACATCTATTTCCACCAACTTCAGTATTTGCCAAGTGGCCTTGTTAACATCTATTTTCATCAACTTCAGTATTTGCTAAGTGGCTTTGTTAACATCTACTTCGGTAAACTTCAGTATTTGCTAAGTCGCTTCTATATTTCAATGCTTTAAGAACACATCACTGATCTATTGTAGTCTCATTCATTACTTTGACTTAATTCAACCACAGCATTTACTTTAGTGTTTTTTGCAGTCTTTTAACGCACTGTAACGTCTTTCTAACCCCCAAACCCTCAAATGTTCTTCTTGAAACTATTATTTTTACAATATTATGTATTGTATATTAAATCTAAGTGTAATTGGATTAAGAAAATATGTGTTTCCTGTTATCAATTAACAGATCACCAAACAAGCGCTTAAACATGTCATTCATGTGTCTAATGATATGAATGTTGATGATTAAGTAAATCAATATCACAGATTATAGAAACAGCTACATAGATAACATTTCTGTGTGTTTATAGTGGTATTTGCTGTAACCTGCCTATACACTGGTACCACAGGATACTCCCAGCAGTCACTGTCAGAGTTAGGGTTCCGTCGTCAAAGTGTCGGCCAAATATGCAACTCTTTTCGACAATTAAAACAAATGCTACAGAGAGTAATCCTTCCCCAAGTTGACATCTTTGTTGCTAGACTTTTCGAACAAAGCCCAATAACAAGGGAAATTCTACACACTGAATCTCAGGAGGTCTGCAGGTATGTAACATACATGTATACGTATTGGAAGCTTTTAATTGAAGTTGGTTATAATTTGTCGTAATAATTTATGGAAATGAAGAATTTCTCAAGAAAAAATGAAAATTCATATGTGATTTTGATGACAGACATATTTCAAAGTATTTGTTTTGCATATAAATCAACATCAAAAGGATAGAAACTAGACAATAGCTTTTATTAATTTACCTCTTTAGTTAGCTCAATAACCTTAGGTCATATATCCGTAAACGAGTACTATGAATGTTTACTGATCAAATCCACCGTGTTATTTACACTGAATCCACCGAGATAAGAGACAAGGGTTCGACTAACACCATCAAAATTACTGGGGAATGTATTTGGTAATTGGCTAAGATATATTATATCTAAGTCTGTGGTTTGACTGGGGAGTGTATTTGGTAATTGGCTAAGATATATTATATCTAAGTCTGTGGTTTGACTGGGGAGTGTATTTGGTAATTGGCTAAGATATATTATATCTAAGTCTGTGGTTTGACTGGGGAGTGTATTTGGTAATTGGCTAAGATATATTATATCTAAGTCTGTGGTTTGACTGGGGAGTGTATTTGGTAATTGGCTAAGATATATTATATCTAAGTCTGTGGTTTGACTGGGGAGTGTATTTGGTAATTGGCTAAGATATATTATATCTAAGTCTGTGGTTTGACTGGGGAGTGTATTTGGTAATTGGCTAAGATATATTATATCTAAGTCTGTGGTTTGACTGGGGAGTGTATTTGGTAATTGGCTAAGATATATTATATCTAAGTCTGTGGTTTGACTGGGGAGTGTATTTGGTAATTGGCTAAGATATATTATATCTAAGTCTGTGGTTTGACAAACTCCACAAAAATATGGGAAATCAATCAAAAGAGGAAAATACCAACATGTCAACATAATCATAATCCAAACTCAAATTACATAAAACTGGGGTACAACATGAAGAAAAGAAAGATTTACACAGAGACAAGGAGTTTGAGACTAAATTCAATAAACACTTAAGGAAACAGATTTTCATTCACAGGATGTTCTGAATTATATATGCCATGCTGTCTGTACATTGAAAGTTCCTTCAATTCATAAACAGAAATGTTGCTGTTGCTGCTTCAACTCTGACACAAAACATCCCAGCTACAACATGTTTCAACAATTTAGAAATGATGGACTCGCTGAACGTGTACGGTGGTTTATGTACAAGGGATGGGAATATGACAGCCTTCTTTACCAACTGTAAGTTAACTTCATGTCTTCTTATTGATCTGCATTGTAACTACATATCTGTTGTGTACCATTGTTAAGTCACAACTCCTCTGTCGACAGGCAACCATTAGAAAATGTTACAACCATAGTATTTTCTGATTTTATAACTGTTGCCTTGGGTATCCAATTTCCAGATAAATCTTTTATCTGCGAACTGCTTCTATATAACAGGGATAACATGAAAATTAAGCAGACCCTGTCTAAATATGATAAATTTCACAAAGGTGAAACACTAGCTCATCATACTACATTATTACAGTATATCAGATTAACAAATAATATGAGGATTAGATTGTCTTGTTTGAACACTTCCCAAAAATTGTTCCTAAAGTTTAATTTAATAACGATAGATTCCATCACAACATACCCAAGTGACACCAATTAGATGGTTATTTATTACGGCCGACTAATCTCACCTCTAAGCAGGAGGCTTCAATCCTTTAGTCCTGATGAAGCCTCACTCTTAGAGGTGAAACAAGTCAGTCATATCAAATTACCCACTAATTGGTGACACTTTGGTATGTTGTGATTGAATCTACCTTTATTAATTTTGGTATTTTACTTCATCACCCGGCATACTTTCTGGTATCTGTACCCAAAACACAGCATCCCACTGATCAACCCTCACACCTGGAACTGACGTCGACTCTATTTTTAGTTGTTAAAGTTTAATGTCTGATATGACTGATTGCTCAATCAATCCTTTTTTCCGAGGTTGTGATTACTATCATTCTTTCAGTATATCATGTTAAATCCAGAAATAGAATAGAGAATATGTAAATTATGTAGCACTCAAAAGATCTGTTAATTAATTTTCAAGATCTGCTCCTAAAAAATTTCCTATAGTAAGAATGTGGAATATACAGGGGCACTATATACTAGTTTTATCCTTCAGTAACATCCAACTTAGAGCCAGTGGTGATGTCGTCCTGGACAGGGGCTTGTATGGAGAATCTGATCGACATAATCCTCACGTGTCCATTTCTCGTAGTAAGCAGGGACAAGGATTTGGAGGAAGGATCAGAAATGTACAGAAGGTCAAAAACTCTCATTCTTTTTTTTTCAGTAAAAACAGTTTGTGAAAATGTAAGAATTGTGATAACTCCTCTTGAACAAAATGAAGTAATACATCACAATGAAATATGTTATACACTATAAATTTGATGAATTGAAAAACGTCACTGAGAGTTCTGTTCAAATTCATACGTATTGAATACATTGCTTTTGGCATTTTGATGAATACATATAAAAAGAAGAAATATAGGTGGGATTGCAACTTTGTCACATGTCAAATGGATATTTCTGAATACTATGTCAGTAACTTTAGATGTAGCCGGGGTGATCCCACACACCCAACATTCATCTGCGCTGTTAAAGAGATTCGTGAAATTTAATTAGTTTATACAACACAAAAATTCTTTGGTTGCTGGCTGATTCACTCCAAAGTAGGTTGAAATTCCTTCTTCTAAACTTAAGAATTAGTATCATGAAGAATTACAGAACTTTTCATCCAGTGAGATCACTAATTTTCTGATGCAAACATCAAATCATCTCATCCATCATAATTGAAAGTTAAGAATGCATAATGTCCCTTCACTTTAACTTACGTATTAAATAAGGAACCCCTGTTTTAACTGTTTGTTCAAATATTCCCTCACTTCAGAGATATTGTAATGAACATCATAATTTAATGACTAATTTCACTGAATTCCTATTTTTTAATTTTAATTCCTATTTTTTAATTTTGTTTCCTATTTTTTAATTTTAATTCCTATTTTTAATTTTGTTTCCTATTTTTTTTAAATTTTGTTTCCTATTTTTAAATCTAATTCCTATTTCTAATTTTGTTTCCTATCTTTTAATTTTGTTTCTTTTTTGAAAATTTTGTTTCCTATTTTTTAATTTCAATTCCTATTTTTTAATTTTAATTCCTATTTTTAATTTTATTTCTAGGCTGATGCAAGTCAGTATCCAGTGTGTCTTCCAAGGTATAGATGCCAATGATATGTCTATGTGTGGGGATCAACAAAGCCTGAAAAAAGTCTTCCTTGTCATTGAACTTCTTCTGGACTTAGCACCTGGTGTTGACTTTACTATGACTGATTTTGGACTTTGAATGATTACGTAATGTCTGTTAAAAACACAACATCACTCTGGAGCATGTTCATATTATTTAGTTTTGTGGTGAAGATGGACTTGGCAAATTATTTCAATTTTTGAACATAATGATTTTTGTTTTGTTTCTTGTTTACATACGAATAAGGGAAACAAAACTTCCAGGGCTGTTATAGAGTATTTCCTAAGGCTACCATGTAAGCCTGCACAATTACATTTTCATTATCTCAACAAGGGTGAAATATCTATAACTGTAAAAAAAAATTAATGAAACTGTTTTTTATGTATGTCTTAAAACCTTAATAAACTTTACTATTTTTGTTCATGAAAAATTGTGTAAACAGGAATTCTGATTAAAAAATTCAATCTAAATTTGATCCAAAAATGTTTGTACTGTCAAATAATCTGAACTGAACTGTTTCTAGATGTAGAATGACATAAGTACACAATGACAATGTGATGGACAAAGACAATGGGGATTTTGACCTGAGGGTACAGAGTAAACTTACATATATCTCTATCAGTAACAAATGTACAACAACTATATTGAGTATTACTCAATCAAAACATGTCCCTTGTCTCATTAATCTATTTTCACTATTTGAATCAACAGCAGCCATGTTTGATCCCTAAACAAGAGGCCCATGGGCCTTAACGGTCATCTGACAAAAAGCAAGCCAAACCTAGAAAGTGGGTTGAGGTCATTCATTTGAACAAACTTGGTAGCCTCTCCTCCAAGCATCTTACAGGCCCAATATCAGCACTCATGGACTTTTGCTTGTTGAGAAGAAGTCGTTGTATATTTTAACATATTTGACCCCTGTGACCTTGAAAGTGGGTTGAGGTCATTCATTTGAATAAACTTGGTAGCCTTTCCTCCCAGCATGCTACAGACCCAATATCGGCACTCATAGACTTTTGCTTATTGAGATGAAGTCCTTTGTATATTTTAACATATTTGACCCCTGTGACCTTGAAAGTGGGCCAAGGTCATTCATTTGAACAAACTTTGTAGGGCTCCATGCCAGCATGCTATGGGCCAAGTATTAGCCCCCTAGGCCTTCTAGTATTTGAGAAGAAGTTATTTAAAGATTTTGATATATTTGACCCCTGCGACCTTGAAAGTTGTTCAAGGTCATTCATTTAAATAAACTTGGTAGCCTTTCCTCCCAGCATACTACAGACCCAATATCAGCACTCATAGACTTTTGCTTATTGAGATGAAGTCCTTTGTATATTTTAACATATTTGACCCCTGTGACCTTGAACGTGGGCCAAGGTCATTCATTTAAACAAACTTTGTAGGGCTCCATGCCAGCATGCTATGGGCCAAGTATTAGCCCCCTAGGCCTTCTAGTATTTGAGAAGAAGTTATTTAAAGATTTTGACATATTTGACCCCTGTGACCTTGAAAGTTGTTCAAGGTCATTCATTTAAACAAACTTGATAGCCCTTCATCCCAGCATGCCACAGGCACAATATCAGCAATCTGAGCCTTTTGGTTATTGAGAAGAAGTTGTTTAAAGATTTTAACATATTTGACCCATGTGACCTTTAAAGTGGGTCAAGGTCATTCATTTGAACAAACTTGGTAGTCCTTCATCCCAGCATGTCACAGGCCCAATATCTACACTCTGAGCCTTTTGGTTAATGAGAAGAAGTTGTTTAAAGATTTTAACATATTTGACCCCTGTGACCTTTAAAGTGGGTCAAGGTCATTCATTTGAACAACCTTGGTAGAGCTCCATGCCAGTATCCTCTGTGCCAAGTATTAGCCCCCTAGACCTTCTAGTATTTGAGAAGAAGTCGTTTGAATGAAAAGTTTACGGACGGCGGACGACGACGGACGAAGCATGATGACTATAGGTCATCGGACCCTTCGGGTCAGATGACCTAAAAACCTCTATGCAAAGTGTTAGCATCTTTATCCAAAATCTATTTTCACTCTGTAAATCAGCTTCTAAAAACTATCATAAAATGACCTTAGAACTTTAACCTTAGTCTGAAGAAGTCCTAGAAATGACGGATATTAAGTATAAAAAGAAAAGATTTTGCTATAGTTTCTCTCTGTAACATTTGCCACCCAAAGAACCATGTAGAGTATCAGCATCTTACAATGATCCTATTTCCTACCGGGAGGTATCCGAACATCAATACGAGGATACATAGAAACAGGCATAGTAACCCTTATGACAGCATAAAATTAATAAAATCACAAACATTTTGCTTACTTCTTTATATATATATATACATGTAAAAGTGTAACTCTACAAGATGGACATAAATATGTATATTTAACTACACATTTGTACATCCAGTCATATGTAGATACCTCGTCTGAATCCAAATCTTATCTGTGAGATAATTTCAGTTGACTGTACAGGTAAAACAAACATTTTTAGCTGCCTGGCTACATATATAAACTGCAATAAAATTCCAAATGAATACATATGATTTTCTAGTGAGAAGAGTGTTTTTGCTCTTGACTCATTTCAGTAATTTTTCAGTCCTGGACTCATGCTTTTCCAGTAGAATTTACAAATTTTGCGACTCCACTATATCTGGCAGTATTGGAACTCATACAAAATTTGTAACTCAAAAGGACTTTTTCCAGCTTTGAAAGTGAGTTACACTTACCTGTAAACGTTTGAAACAAACTGAACATCTCTTATGACTAGGAAGCACCAAATGGCCAATATCAGGTTGTTTTGACTCGGCGGATTGTTTCTCCGGGCTGCTATCACTAGACTGTTTACGACATCTCTTCCTTTTGCCTGTCTTGTCCTTACACAATGTTTTTATCCTCACCGGACCATAAGCTATCGGCATATGAATTGGGGGTCTGCAATCTGGAGCAAAATCCTGTACATAGCTTTGTTTTAGCCAACGTATTGTTAACGCGAAACGATTCCAGGGTCCTAGACGAAGCATTTCAGAAACAATACGAAAACGGTACAAGAAAGGAGTCTCTTTTTTCTTCTTTCCTACCAGGTGTCGCAATCGACGAGATTTCTGTGGATTTTGCCATGCCCACTCAAACTGAAGGAGACATATAATAGTATTTTAAAGTTAGCAATAATGATAACAATGTGATTCGAGTCTGATGTAAACAAGGCGGCAGCCATGATGGTAATTTATATCGGTGAACATATGATCAGTAACGTATTACATCCATCTTATAGACATTTGTATCTTGTATCTAATTTGTATTAAATATATTGTATGTTACTTTGAGAAATAGAAAAGAATTAAACAGTTTAACATATAGATGTATCGTACCCGGAGTGCAGATATGTCATTTGGGAATCCATGGATGATCAGGACCATTTCCCTGAAAACATTAAATTGGAGGAAAATTAGTTTCAAGACAAATTAAATAGAAGCAGAGATCCCAGAGAGCTCTTGGCACCCACCATTGTTTGCTCATGGAAAGTTAGATCTTTTTATTTCTTTTCTCTTCCCAAATTTTGCTCTTATTATTAATGATAAGAAACTTAAACATTCCTTTGCAGAAAAAGCTATGATAATCTTTACCTGCCAAATCAAAAATTGTCTCCTTTGCTTGGAAGCCATTTTGTTTCTTTTGATCAGTCCCAAAATCAAACAGGCACAAGTGATGTCGAAAGGGCGCATACCTAAGAGATTTGAGAGAGATCTATTCAGTACTTCTTAAGAAATAGGGATAACAATCTTTACCAGGCGAAATCAAAGATGGCTGCCCATCAGCCATTTTGTTTTTGATCAGTACCAAAATCAAACAGGCACAACTAGGGATCAAGAGAAAAATACACATAAAATTTGAGAAAGATCTACACTGTAGTTGTTAAGGAATAGCATTAACAATCTTTCAAAGTCGAAATCCAAGATAGGCGCCCATCGGACATTCTGTTTTTCTGATCAGACCCATAATCAATTGGACACAACAAGGGACCAAGGGAAACCTACATATGAAATTTGAGATCCATCGAGTTTCTTTTCAAGAAATATAGATTACAAAAATTGTTTACAGATGGATGGATGGATGGATGGATAGACAGATGAACAGCAAAATGAAGGACCATTTTTGTAAGGTGACATGAATAGCCCACCAGCTGATGATGGTGAGCTAAAACTAGTACATGATAAGTATTGGACCACCAAACATTTTTATTTGAATGACACATTTATATAAAAGAGTTGCTAACTACTTGAAATATCTAATAACAATTCTATTTTCTCTATTAAAACTTGCAGTTGGTACATCCACAAATGGTTCAAACTTTTCATACATCAATCCTTAATAAATTGACAAATTAGATCGTACCATGGCCCCCGTCCATGCGTCCGCCACGCCCCGCCTGCATGTTTTCCCTTGTTATGTTGCTGTATTCTTCGATTGGGATTGACTGTGTAGCCGATGTAAGTCCTGCCCTTGAACTTTGGATTCACATTGTACAAGAGGTAAACTCCAAAGAATCTTTCAATGGCTTCTGCCATCTTGATTCCTTTCTGTGTGCTTGAAGTTACTCATCTAGTCAACTGCATTAAAATCTTTATGCTGAAGTCCATCTTTTGGTGCTGAAATGAAATTTATGAGCATTAAACATACATGTAACAGAGTCAGTACCAACCTTTTCACATGATTGAATTGTTCTGAATGTTCCAGATATCAATTAAAAATTCTCCAACATTACGATGAAACCTGTGTATTAGATTATAGTGTTCATAAAAGGAACACATGTATACCCGTAAACATAATTAACATTTCTACAAAGATATGTGAAGAATATAAGAAAAATACAAGACAATAGCTAATGAAACCTTGGTATATTTACAGTGTTGTATTTAAACAACACAAACTCATATAAAAATATTAATTCTTTGAAAATGTGTTGCTTGTGTCCTTGCTAAACATGGAAATTTCTTACGATTTATTACGATACATGATGGACGCAGGCTTGCTAGCCTCTATGTCCATATCAATATTTAACAATTTATGAAAAAAATTGTGTTAATATTACTTCTGGTGCTATTCCGTGAATTCATTAAACAATAACAATTTGATTTAATTTATAATGTTCATCAAATAAAATTTCGAACTGACTGGCTGTAGTAGCATTAATAACGTGCTGGGGCAAGTTTTTCCACAAATTTACAGTTTGTTGACTAAAGAAATGTTTTTCTAATGTCTAATCGCGAATGCTTTTTATACAGTTTTTGAGAATGTCCTCTTGATGTGGTTGTGGTACACATCTCAAATATATTTTCAGTAGCTCTCTTATCATACATATTGTTCATAACTTTAAAAGTGTTTATCATGTCTCCTCTCATCCTTCGATGTTCCAGAGTCAGAAGATCCAGTCTTTCCAGACATTCTTTATAAGATAAATTCTTGAACCCAGGTATTAACTTTGTAGCCCTCTTTTGGACGTTTTCAATAATATAAAAAATGGTGTGGATTCAATACGCTTGCTGCGTATTCAAGGTGGGGTCGTATCAAAGCTTTGAATAACAATTTAAACATTGTATCATCTACACATACAAACGTTGGTCTGATTAATCCCGCCGTTCTATCCCCCTTGTTAACAATTCCTTGTATATGAAATCTAAATGTTCATCAATAATCTTGTCGAGGTCTTTCTCATTTGTTGTATTTTCTAATTGTAACTTTTCTGCTTCTGATCCAGAAATGAAATAATTTCTCTTTTCATTTGATTTGATGGATAGAATTTTACACTGATTTGAGTGAAATTTTAACAGCCATTTGTACGACCAATTTTGAAGCTTATCTAAATCATTCTGCAAAATATGGATAACCTCTGTGCCTTTGACATGCCGGTATAGTTTGGTATCATCCAAAAATAGGTATGTTGGAGATTTTGTTACTTCTGATAGATCATTTACCTATATGACGAAAAGTATAGGGCCAAGTACACTCCCCTGCGGAATCCCACTTAGTACTGAGTATGTTCCTGGTGACTGAATGAATCATTGTATCAGAGACGTATATATCATATATATATGTGTGTTACATATGTCTCTGATTGTATATTGTACATATATACACTGTATGATGTCTCACTGGCAGAGGTTAAGCTGACAATGCTTGGTAATAGAAGTGCTTTTCTGTATGTTTTTTTTCAACATTCCACTCAAACTGTAATGTGCGACGAACTTATTAATATCGCTGTGCTCACATTGTGAAACAAAGGGCAGTAACTCCGGTACAACCAATAGATTTAAAACCCATGATAACAATAGGATTCGTAGCGCTGTTTTTGTGTCTTACGTGGTGGAATAAATTTAAGTGATCCTGGATTATTGGAAGAGTGGTTTAATGAAATACTTACCGAACCCTCACTAGAAATATGTTGCCGGTTTCCCTCCCGAGGACGTGTGGGTTTTAGGTTTAGTCATGACCATTTGATCATAGTCAAACGCGCGGTTGACACAGATCCAAAATGGAGAGTACCAAAGCAAATAAGGACTGTGTTTACGCTATTATCAACAATATACCTTCTTCTTACCATTCTTCCGACCTCAGAAACTACTTCTCACAGTTTTTAGAGACAAGTGGGTTTAAATGTTTCCATTTCAAACATAGACCAGAGTCTAGAACCACCGAAACATCGAATTCAACCACCCGTGAGGAAAGACGTTTAGGAACGTTTTGTTGTGTCGTCAAAATTAATGGAAACCGATTCAACGAATTCATGAAGATGTATCACAAACGACACTGGCTGGATAGGAAAGGGGATGTCATGCCTGCTTTATGTTTTATTTCTAAAATCAGAACAACTGAGCAGAATATAGGTAACGACCAGACAAATATCCAATGATTTATCCAATGATTCATCCATAGACACTTCTACGTAGTTGAGATATATATATATAAAACTAAAAAACCTTAAAAAAAACAAAAAAAAGTAGTATGTATGTTAATATTAGAGATATATACTTTATTTTTTGTTATGTTTGCTTGTAAGAAATCAATACAAATTTCGTGGACCCCATCATTTCTCACTATCTACGCTATGTCGATGAATTGCCCCAAAGAAATACATAAATGACTTGAGATGCATTCATACCATAAGATTTATTTAAAAACTGATCGTTGAAATACCAGTATTTTCTGAAAAAAATATCCACGGGTATGACCTTTGATTCACTCACCTGAAATGATTGACATGTGTATCAGACATGTTATATAATCAGTGCACTTCCGTATCTGATGATATCACAAAATCACAGAGATGCTTGAGTTAGCTTAATGTGACCCTATGATATCTATGTTTATAAGTGCACCTTTTTTAAAGGGTTAGATTAAAGTTTTTATATTTTTATACTTTCTTCTCAAATGAGCCTTATTTCTCAGTAAACTTCTTTCTTGTAACACCAACTGTCTCAATCTTCAACTTGTTATCTTAAAAAATCGGAAATTTGTCATCAAACGTGATATTGTATAAGATATAATATTTTTCAATATGAGACCTGCAAGTTTGGACTTCCGCAGCCAAAAAATTGTGAGGAGGCGTTGCCTTTCATTCATAGTGCAGGGCTCTCACACCCAATTTTGGGACTGGGGCCCTTAGAATTGGGGAAAAAATTGTGTTTTCCTTAGAATTTGGAAAACTTGTGGGTCTACATTGGGAAAAAAAGATACTATTTTGCATTGGGAATTCGGCCCCAAATCTGGCAAATGGAGAGCCCAGTAGTGGATTTTATTCACATGAGACACTTCAACAAAACATTGGCATCTGAGGATGAATTGATAGGTTATTATCAGATATAAGATGTTTGACATGTAAAGATGTGTATTAAAATATAATTTACAAATTTGCCAATGAAATCACAAATTTTTATTCTTTCTGGAAGCATAATAAATAAATAAATACATTTTAGATAAATAAATTAATAAACTTCCAAAGCTTAAAAATAAATAATTTTTTTTTGACTCAGACTTTTGAGTCCTGGGCTCATGATCATAACTCTCCTGATGGCTTTGCCAAATTTTGAGGACCTACTAAATCTTTAGTAATAGGGCTCATCAGAATTTTGGAAATGGTGTTCAGGACTCTCATTTAAAAATGCTTACAAAAGTTACTGATACACAAAAAGGAATTTTGATGTACAGAAATGTATTTTTATTTGTCAAAGAAATTGCTTTGTTATGTTCCAGGTGGAAGCAACAAATACAAAACAAGAGCAGAACAGAAATGTGTTCCACATGACAGAGAACAGTTTACTATTAGTGACCTTGATCAGATGAAGGAGTTACATCCCCCTGATATTATGCCAAATGGAAATGTTGGGACTCCTACTTCAGTCTTCCTGGAATATATCAAACAATGTCGTCTGCCACCAGTCATTATAAAAAATCTTGGATTGTCATTTCCAAAGACAAGATCAAACAAAAGGTATGGAAATGTTCCTTTTAATTATGATGGCAAAGCTGTTGATGTTGGTCATCAAACCCAGGAAGAAGAGGAAACACCAGAGGTCAAATCATCCAAAGGTTATAAGATACCAACTGAAAACTCTTACTCAGATGAAAGTGAAACAGACAAGTCAACAGACCAAGATTCATCACAGAATCCAAACCGTGATTTTAACAAAGAAAAAGAAAGTTCAAAAGACAAGTTTAGACAGGACCCAGAGACAAAGAGAAGATTTGAATTAAAAATTGAAGAGAATTTGATTGAAAAAGAAGACAGGGACTCTGATGATGTAAGTGTGAACGAGGAGTACACACTTTAATGTTTTATATACATCATGTGACATAAACTTCAAGAATTTCACAATACTGAATTTGTAGATGAATCATGCATGTACTAATTTTAATCATTTCATTTCATATGTGTACAACCTGCATTTGGCCAAATAAGGAAAAAATTTTTTCTGGAAATGATGCTAGCTATACCAAGTTAAAGCCTGTCAAAAGGTAGAATATAGTTCTCTCATCATCCATAAGATTTGCTCTTTTTAAATTTTTCTGCATCCCATATACCTACTCCAGCCTGTTTATTTTTTAAGTGAACATATACAGGGCACTTATAAGGTTAAACATGGTTTATTGAAATTCATATGTAAAATTGGTCAAATAACAGTTAAGTAATATAACAATTGTACTGTTATTGAACATTTTATGTTTATATGAACATGTATGGAGATATGATATATTGCACTAGAATTACCATTTTATATCATATTTGTTTGGTATCCCACTATTCAAACCACATTCATGGCATTGTGCTTACAAGGGTCTGATCTGTGGACATGACTATCTCAACCCTCGTGTAATAGTATGACAGGTCAACATTGTTAGATCTCAACCCTGAATAGTCAAACTCTTACAAGGGGGCCGAGATCTTCTATTTCAAAGAACAGACCCATGTTTGATTTTTTTCTCCAATACCTACAGATGAAATATTAACATATTGGAAGATATGATCATAACTTATACATTGTGTGATCGTCATGATAAATAGCCCGTGAAATCTGTGTCAAAATTGATGAATATCCAACTGTGATGTTGTTATAGGCATCAAATGATGATGCTGCATCCATGTTGTGAGTACCATTATAGTGCATGCATCTCTGTAATCTGTGTAAGTTATCTCTTCCCTAGATAAAACTTGGTAACTATGATAGATGTCTTGCTCTTTGACCTCGACATAGTGTCAGAATAATTGTTCATTTGTATGTATTATTGTTAAATGCAAACTACAGGTAAACTGTCTGTGGAGCTCAAAAAAAGAAAGTAAAGAGAAACATTATGCAGTTAGGTAGCCTAAAACCTCTAGTGATTTATTTCATCATCAGGACAATGATACCTGTGAAGAGTGGGAGCGCCATGAGGCCATGTATGATGACCCGTCTAATCAGGAGAGAAATTCAGAGCGGCTGTATGAAGAGGAAATAGAGCTGAAATGGGAGAAAGGTGGCAGTGGTCTTGTCTTTTATACCGACGCTCAGTACTGGAAACAGCAGGAAGGAGGTAAGTCACACACAGAAGAAAATTGACAATAGGAGCTACAAGTGTAAGATATAGAAGTGATATTTGGAAAAATAGAAATTTTCAGTGTTTGACTCACACTTTTGCTGATCATGAGAGACACTCATAATCTGATTATCTATTGGTAGTTGGATTGCCAAAAAAGAATTTGGATCCATCACCATTGATGCCACAAAAACATTTCACTTAAGTTTAATACCAATAAAACTTTTGTCAGAGAATCAGCCAATTTATATTTGTTGGTATTTGGTAACATTTTCAACAAATGACATTTTGTTGCCCTGTAATAAATAGATGCCCCGACTTTGAATCTGAAGTAATATGTTGTTGAGCTGAGCTTTTTACAGGACAAAAATATTTTAATAGGAAGTAGAACCAGGAAGGTGAATTTTTCACTAGAACTACATTCATCAATGAAAACAGATGACATTACTAATATATTGCTTCCAGTATTGAAATTAAAATTTGTTTCCTCAGATTTTGATGAACAGACAACAGATGATCTGGATGTTGATATGAGTGTATACTATGAGGAAGGGGTTGGAGATAAAGATGCAAGAGATTACCTAACCATGCGTCAGGAAACACGTCGGCGAGATGGTGAGGAAAACACAGACAGATTTAGTGCTGGTATTGCTAAAAAACGACCTTCTAATTCAAAACACCAAAGTAGTGAGGCATTGAAAATTGGAAAGTTTGAACAACACACGAAAGGATTTGGTCGTAAAATTCTAACACAACAGGGTTGGAGTGAAGGTGAAGGCCTTGGATGCACTGTAAAAGGGATGGCAGATGCTCTGGAATCAGAAGGTCAAACATCTAGGGATAAAACAGGATTTGGGTAAGTTTCAGGCAATTAAATACATTTGTATATTTATTGGCAACACATCACTGTGTCCTTTTATTCATTTTTCACAATTTAACTTGTAGAGCTTCAAGGTTTAGTGTGTGTTTGAATTTTTTTTGTTAATCATTTAGAATGTGGAGTAGTTTAAAATCATGAATTTTTGGAAGAGGCAGGGGCCCAAATTTCCTGGTAGTATACACTTTTATGGTCATTTGGTTTTGGGGATAGCTCAATAAATCCACTTATACTCATTATATACAGTTCATGGACAAATGAATTCATAGAATATGAGCACTGACTGAATCAAGAAAAATTGATCCCTTATGAAAATTAGTGATTATACAGTTGTCAAAATAATACATATGTAAGCTCTCTGTGCACAGTTTTGACTGTTACCATCAGGATCTCTCAGACTGTTTATAAGTATCACTAGCAGTCTGCCTAAATGTAGAAATAAGGGTTGTGATGTAATAGATGGATTTATTTATTAAAGGTTTCTACGTCTGTATTGATTTGTTCTCAGTACAGGACGAATTCTGTAGTAATTTTTCATTTTTTTTAAACTATTAATCTTGTGGCATAATTTGTAGATCAGACTACAGCTATAGATATTCAGAGGAGTTGAATAAGTGAATAATTGTTATTCTATTGAAGAAATGTGAATTATTTATGTTATTATTTGATTATTTCTGTCAATAGAATAATGTCACAGTTAGGTCAGTTCATTAGAAAAATCAATGATTTATTTTTTTGTAAGAAAGTATAGATGTGATATGTAATGAAATGTCTGAAATGATAAAGAGATGAAAAGGGAGATAATTTTGCATTAACTTTCAGAATGAAATAGTAAATCATTAACATTTCACATATTTCGGTAATATGAATATTTTAACATATTCTGATTTCTGTTTACAGATATAGGGGTGAGAAATTGCTGAAGACAAGGGATTTGAAACATAAAAAACCACAAACTAAAAGACTGATAACCACAATGTATGATGATCCTGGTGACACAGACCCAGTGGACCCACTGTTACGACGAAATCACCACTACCACATATCTCATCGTCACAGCCATAAAGTTGCCTTCACTGCTGCACAGACACAGGAATAAATGAAATATAGATGTCCCTTCATGTATTGGCTGAATACATTCCTGATTTGTTCATATGAATACTTTGTATAAACCTGAAATTTGATGAAGTTCTATTATTTTTTCTTGATTGTTAGGATGATAACCTGCAAAGGGTATCCTTGAAGATAAATATGCCCTGAACATACCTGTCTCAGTGAATCAAACACCATTCATCTTGATGAAACACAAGTGTAGCAATTACCAAATTACTTAGATGGAAATATTTGAAACATATATGAATTATCAAAATGTTCAAAGTTCTATTTTGGCTAGATGTAACTATTGTAATTGAAAAATGACCAATTTACAGATCTGATTTTGTTTTCAGAGAATATCTTGTAATCTTCAAGCATCTGTTTGATTGTGATGTATGAATGTCAGACATGCCATTTGTACCTATGTAATGTGATATTGCAGCAGGATTGTTTAGCTACAGACAAATGTATGGAGAATAGTGAGGTGTTTTACAACCTTATAGCAAACAATCAAAACCTTTATTATATTTTTTGTTGAAGTTAAGGGATATTCACATTGAACCACGTCATATTTTATAATAATGTACTTTGAAGTTATCAATATATTTTCAATTATGATGTTCTTCAACAAATTTCCAAATCAATGACTTTTTTCTGAACACTTTGTCTGTCTGAAATCCTAGATCAACTCCTGTCTGCTAGAAATTTGTCAAAACATTTGTCAACTGTCCACATACAAAAGTATCATCTATAAGATCTTCTTGTTTTCGTTAGGGTTGATTCCTTACCAATTGATCTTAAGGTACAACACATTTCCAATTTATTGCTGGTACAATTCCTTACCAATTGATCTTAAGGTACAACACATTTCCAATTTATTGCTGGTACAATTCCTTACCAATTGATCTTAAGGTACAACACATTTCCAATTTATTGCTGGTACAATTCCTTACCAATTGATCTTAAGGTACAACACATTTCCAATTTATTGCTGGTACAATTCCTTACCAATTGATCTTAAGGTACAACACATTTCCAATTTATTGTCTGGTACAATTCGTTACCAATTGATCTTAAGGTACAACACATTTCCAATTTATTGCTGGTACAATTCCTTACCAATTGATCTTAAGGTACAACACATTTCCAATTTATTGCTGGTACAATTCGTTACCAATTGATCTTAAGGTACAACACATTTCCAATTTATTGTCTGGTACAATTCGTTACCAATTGATCTTAAGGTACAACACATTTCCAATTTATTGTCTGGTACAATTCCTTACCAATTGATCTTAAGGTACAACACATTTCCAATTTATTGCTGGTACAATTCGTTACCAATTGATCTTAAGGTACAACACATTTCCAATTTATTGCTGGTACAATTCCTTACCAATTGATCTTAAGGTACAACACATTTCCAATTTATTGCTGGTACAATTCCTTACCAATTGATCTTAAGGTACAACACATTTCCAATTTATTGCTGGTACAATTCCTTACCAATTGATCTTAAGGTACAACACATTTCCAATTTATTGCTGGTACAATTCGTTACCAATTTATCTTAAGGTACAACACATTTCCAATTTATTGCTGGTACAATTCCTTACCAATTGATCTTAAGGTACAACACATTTCCAATTTATTGTCTGGTACAATTCGTTACCAATTGATCTTAAGGTACAACACATTTCCAATTTATTGCTGGTACAATTCCTTACCAATTGATCTTAAGGTACAACACATTTCCAATTTATTGCTGGTACAATTCCTTACCAATTGATCTTAAGGTACAACACATTTCCAATTTATTGCTGGTACAATTCCTTACCAATTGATCTTAAGGTACAACACATTTCCAATTTATTGCTGGTACAATTCCTTACCAATTGATCTTAAGGTACAACACATTTCCAATTTATTGCTGGTACAATTCCTTACCAATTGATCTTAAGGTACAACACATTTCCAATTTATTGCTGGTACAATTCCTTACCAATTGATCTTAAGGTACAACACATTTCCAATTTATTGCTGGTACAATTCGTTACCAATTGATCTTAAGGTACAACACATTTCCAATTTATTGCTGGTACAATTCGTTACCAATTGATCTTAAGGTACAACACATTTCCAATTTATTGCTGGTACAATTCGTTACCAATTGATCTTAAGGTACAACACATTTCCAATTTATTGCTGGTACAATTCCTTACCAATTTATCTTAAGATACAACACATTTCTAATTTATTGCCTGGTACAATTCCTTACCAATTGATCTTAAGGTACAACACATTACCAATTTATTGTCTGGTACAATTCTTTACCAATTTATTTTACGTCCTCCATTATCAATCTGTCGTTTATGTGATAGGTTTTGTGGCTTACATTCTATATGATAACTTGTAATCTATCGGCTATCATACGGTATCATTGGTTTTTCATTATTATCATTTGGCAAAGAAAACAGAAGAAAAAACAGTGTAAATGTTTTGTATTCAGAAAAATATGCATCAGCAAGACCCAAATTTGACAATACGTAGTTCCTTGTGCATGCATCTACCTTTGTCAAACTCACATCTGGAAGTAAAAAAATGAATTAAGATTATTTGCATATGCATGAATAACAAAATGCCAAAAAGGGTTATTTGCTGGTGGAAATTTCACCATTTGGTATCCAAATCGAAATATTTACTCGTAGCCATCAAAAGTAAAAACTAAATTTAATATGATTTGACTTTTTCTCACGGCAAAAAGAGCCAAAATAAGCCACTGCCGAAAAAAAGTTCTATAAGTATACGGAAGAGGGGACTCCCAAAAATAAAACTAGTGATGACGAACACACTGAGCCATGATTATCTGTATTGGACATCCACATGAATCAGGTCGATTAGAGCCAGGCCAAGCGCAATGTAAACCGGTGTGTATACCCGAAATATTTACACCAATACAAGGTCAATTATACTACTGTAAAGTCATATTTTTGTGGGGTTCAGTTTTCATGGCGTTTTAGAAATGAATACTTTGCAGACATTTGATTCGTAGATAAAAATGGATAAATAAAGTTACTTTTTCTTGTCATGACAGCCCGTGGACATATGTATTTGTGGATGAAGAGTACCCTCAGAATCAACAAAGATAAATATCGCAAGAAAATTGAAGATTTTACAAAAAACAGATTGGTTCTCAGGATAGGTGCTTGTTGTTTCATCAACGACAACTGCCATGTGATTACACTCACACCCAAGTCATGTTACGTTCTCAATGTGATAAGCAGGTCATTGACATTTTAAAGTACGGTTAAAATATCAGTTATCCAAGTAATATTTTCACGTTTTAGAATAATTCCCATAAGCTAGTGCTACATTTTTAAATTGAAGAGTAAAAAATCAAAAGTCAGATACATGTAATTCAGTTTAATGCCTATTAAATTAAAGTTCCTGAAATAGGTTGTTCGTTCAATTTGATTTAATCTTATAGATTCTGGCAAGAACGAAGAATATTCTTATTCATGAGAACGATAAAAATAACTATTGGAGGAAGATTTTCTGGGGACCGCTCGAGGTTAAAAACATACATGAATAAACCAGTCACTGGAAAGCAATACACAGCCAAACATGTTTAAAGCATATGAAAATCGATTTGGATATACAAAAATGTACTGCTTGACGAAGTATATTTGGACGAAAACTCGCCCAGTTCCTCATCAGAATATAACAAGGCTAAGGAAGACAACCAATGGACATGGTGTATTAGGACGGGAAGAAGAACAATGTTGTTACGGAACTTTGGTGAGAAAGTGACATCAGGATAAACCTCAAAAGAGGCGATAGATAACTTTTATATTGTAAATAATGATAACATAAATAACGCATTCGATACAACACTCAAACAAAAAGAAAAGTTTTTCTTCAGTGATCCAGGACTATTTATGCTAGTCTTTTGTTTCTGTTAGTAGGACTTTAATACTAAATATGACTTGTATAAGAATGTTCATTTATTTTTTCTAATTGTCATACATTTAAGCTTAAACGCCACATGACATCCTTCAAATCGCTGCTATAGAGTATGCAGCAGAAGTTCAGAGATTAACATCTCTGTCGTAAGGCATCCATCCTTTCTTTAGCTGGGTTCAACTCGTAGATATCTGTCTTCATTTGTGCAGATTTTTCGTAGCTCTTGATGGCCTTTTGTATGTCACCTAAAGTTTCATAGCAGATCCCTAGGAGATTATGCACTATCCAGTACTTTTGTCCTCCTTGCATACCACCATACTTGACTATCAGAAGCTCGCGAAGTGCTCTGTCGCGTTCGTTGATGTCTTTTAGTTCGTGGTTGCACATAAAGGACAAAAAGATAGCGTATGGTAATGGAGGGATTAGCAACTTAACATGTTGTTGCGATATTTCTGGTCGAAGATGTGGAAGACAGAAATGTTTTTGTTCAAACTCAAACGAAATACAAGCTGTAAATAATTTTCTCAGCTTGAATATGAAAGGACTTTCTGAACCGCAATATCCTTCTATGTACTCTGCTTCATGTTCTGGTGTCATTGTTTCTTTTTCATCCCAGAAGTGTGACGCTAAATCAATAACTTGTCTGGTGATTTCGAGGGCTTTTTGGAAATTCCCCATCCGGAAGAAGAACGTCGCTAAATATAGCACCTCTGTGCCAATGGAAGTCCTTGGTATTATCCAATGTTTTGCTTTCTTCAGGCTCCTGTACCTAGTCTTGTTGCCAATAGCAGTTGTGTGATTTGGATACGCATGCTCTATAGAGAGGTCGTACAGGACATGCATGGCATAGTAGTACGACAGCACTTCATCATACTCTGACGTTGATTTTAATAACAAGTTGAACATTCCTAAAACTATTTTCAGAGACCTCCTTTCTGGGAAATGCAACGTACGCAAATATTGCACAATGCTCTGGTCCCGGCGGAGGACAACTTCCGAAACGGGTTCGGGCTGTACAAGTTTGTCTTGGATTGGTTGATGACATAGATAATCCATAATTGTAGGACGAAAAAAATGTCCAACTTTAAGACAGCCCCACTTCAACCTTTGATAATGATTTAAGATTTCTACTAGTCGTTGTTGGTGATGTCCATGGATCTTTCTCAAGAACATGTTGTTTGTTGGGATGAAGTAGTTAGGACAATACCCTGCCTTGACCCAAGCTATTAGAATGTTGAAGCAAAGCCAGAAACAATTGAAAATGTTTTTGTCTTGCCAGAGTGTGTCCTTAGAATTTTCAATGGCATGAAAAAGGACAGTCTTAAGAAAATAGGAGCACAGAATGTCATCATCACCAATCATCTGCTTTAGTGTTACTTTTAGTTGTTGTAAGAAATATTTTAGTAAAAAGTAAACTTTGAATTGAATATGACTGAAAGAGTGAACTAACATTCTCTCTGCTGATATGAACGATATTCTCCAATGTAACAAGGTGTCCAAAGTTTTGTCGCCCACTGGAACAACATGACAACCATCGCGTACAATCCGGTCAATCAAAGTTTGGTGTGGCCAACCATACTGTCGTGTACGGGTCACCCATTCCTGCGCCGCTGTGGGCCAACCTTTACAAGGGAAACAAAACACCACATCAGCATTGTATGACGAGGAGTTAGTCGTACAGCTAGGACCATTGGACTTGAACAAACTCCCAACTTTTGCAGTCATTGCTGAAACAAGTTGTTCGCGATAGATATCGCTTGAAACGAAATATCCGTCCTCGGTTTCTACCAAAGAATTTAGTAACGGATCACTTGGTACCTCTCCTAACTGACGAAGCATAAAATTTACGTAACCAGGTCGACAGTCTGAATCTCTCATGTACAAAAATGTTTGTCGTGTTTTTGTAGGAAAGTACTGACGGGGTTGGATTAATACCTCGACCGTTTTGTCGATTAACATTCTGTCATAATCTGAATTAGCTAAGTAGAATCCTTCAGCTCGACTTCCACCGTAAAACCTTTGTATCTCGACATTAGAATACTGGAATGCCTGTTCCATTACTATCTGTGTTTTTTGCCTAATATCAACATCATCCTTTGTCCCTGTGCAATATCTGTCTAAATATGTTGACAAGAGTACGGACAGACGCTCACTCTCGGTGGAATCCATCTCAAAGCAATCTGTAAGGAAACAGAGATTGTGTACAAATATATATCTGAGAAAAAAATACCTTAAACATTTGAAATTACAGTAACTTGAGGAAGATTAAAGCTGACACTTGATATATTCTTTTTGAGATGCTTTTGGGAAACGGATTTTTTTTTTCAAAATTAATTCTTTTTAACATGCATTGTCAGTTTTGTGTGTATGTTTCACTTAGGCGTCTACGATGCATGTCGACGTATCCAGTAAGATATCTTATATTCTAGTCATTTGACTCTCATCACAGTATCATCTTTAAGGAACAAGTCGTTTGATTAATCATGGCGGAAGAAGACTAAAACGGAGCAAACCAACCAGGAACCGAAATATTTGGGGTGATGTTAACCACTTTCACAGATCGTGATTGTCTGTAGTCGATACAAAAGCTTTAGTTATGTCCCCTTATAATTTTATTGTGTACATTGTATGACTATAAAAAGACATCTTTCGAAGTGAATACACTAACATATAAGAACTGCGGTTCACGAATGTACTTACAGCTGGCCACAAATATTAAATCACATACACCTGGGCACCAATATTAAATCACATACAGCTGGGCATAATTATTAAATCACATACAGCTGGCCACAAATATTAAATCACATACAGCTGGCCACAAATATTAAATCACATACAGCTGGCCACAAATATTAAATCACATACAGCTGGCCACAAATATTAAATCACATACAGCTGGCCACAAATATTAAATCACATACAGCTGGCCACAAATATTAAATCACATACAGCTGGGCACAAATATTAAATCACATACAGCTGGGCACAAATATTAAATCACATACAGCTGGGCATAACTATTAAATCACATACAGCTGGGCACAAATATTAAATCACATACAGCTGGGCACAAATATTAAATCACATACAGCTGGCCACAAATATTAAATCACATACAGCTGGCCACAAATATTAAATCACATACAGCTGGGCATAACTATTAAATCACATACAACTGGCCACAAATATTAAATCACATACAGTTGGGCACCAATATTAAATCACATACAGCTGGGCATAACTATTAAATCACATACAGCTGGCCACAAATATTAAATCACATACAGCTGGCCACAAATATTAAATCACATACAGCTGGCCACAAATATTAAATCACAAACAGCTGGCCACAAATATTAAATCACATACAGCTGGGCATAACTATTAAATCACATACAACTGGTCACAAATATTAAATCACATACAGTTGGGCACAAATATTAAATCACATACAGCTGGGCATAACTATTAAATCACATACAGCTGGCCACAAATATTAAATCACATACAGCTGGGCACAAATATTAAATCACATACAGCTGGCCACAAATATTAAATCACATACAGCTGGCCACAAATATTAAATCACATACAGCTGGCCACAAATATTAAATCACATACAGTTGGGCACCAATATTAAATCACATACAGCTGGGCATAACTATTAAATCACATACAGCTGGCCACAAATATTAAATCACATACAGCTGGGCACAAATATTAAATCACATACAGCTGGCCACAAATATTAAATCACATACAGCTGGCCACAAATATTAAATCACATACAGCTGGGCATAACTATTAAATCACATACAACTGGTCACAAATATTAAATCACATACAGTTGGGCACAAATATTAAATCACATACAGCTGGGCATAACTATTAAATCACATACAGCTGGGCACAAATATTAAATCATATACAGCTGGGCACAAATATTAAATCACATACAGCTGGCCACAAATATTAAATCACATACAGCTGGGCATAACTATTAAATCACATACAGCTGGCCACAAATATTAAATCACATACAGCTGGCCACAAATATTAAATCACATACAGCTGGCCACAAATATTAAATCACATACAGCTGGCCACAAATATTAAATCACATACAGCTGGCCACAAATATTAAATCACATACAGCTGGGCATAACTATTAAATCACATACAGCTGGCCACAAATATTAAATCACATACAGCTGGCCACAAATATTAAATCACATACAGCTGGCCACAAATATTAAATCACATACAGCTGGCCACAAATATTAAATCACATACAGCTGGCCACAAATATTAAATCACATACAGCTGGGCATAACTATTAAATCACATACAGCTGGCCACAAATATTAAATCACATACAGCTGGCCACAAATATTAAATCACATACAGCTGGCCACAAATATTAAATCACATACAGCTGGCCACAAATATTATCTTTCTAACTGGTGAACACATATTCACAATGAGTTGAACGAACACAAATAAAAACAAGCACGAAAACTGTATAACATACTAGTGAATAAAATATACATGTCAACACTCGATCAGTCAACAAAGGCTGACAATTATGTTATCAGTGTAAACATTCTTACCTTACACTTTCAAGCTGGTTCAGTAAAGATGTTCATTACTCCACGTACGATAGACAACGTGATACAGATATTACTTAAATCCTCCAGATTGGACAGTTTTTAGGATTTCTGACAATGACAATCGTTTTATGCGGTGACTGTACACACACATATATATTATAAAACACAAACACGGCAAAACCCGTCCGAGGTGTTTCAATGACCTGGAACAAAAGTGATGGTAGCAACCGACCGTAAAGAATGGAAATTTTCACACAAACAGGTTTAGGTACACGGGGTTTAAAACGGGTATTTCCCTAATTTTGTCACGTGAACTTCATAGTAAAATTACATTTTGCAATGGTTTTTCCACTACACTATTATCTGCCATGACTTGTTCACAACATGTCTGTAGCATTTAGTGTCGAGTATCGGAACAAAACACTTTGGTCGCCATCAGGATCTCGGGGGAAAATACATATCATTATCTAAAGGATGAAAATGCAATATCCGGCAGTCTCTGTCGTAATTGTATTGGATTTGCCCCGGCTCTCAAATTGCAGATATGATATCACTAGAAATTAGATATCCACGTCATTGATGAATCAGAGGAAGTTTATGCTAATTGTACATCAAGGTACACCCCAAACAAAGACAATGATTAAGGTATACAGCCAACTCACAGGTTAACGTATGTCGTTCCATCCGTTCCACAAACGTTCTGGCGTTCCTCACTATCACAAGAGTGTTTGAATAGATCCAGACAGAAAACATCAAGCGCTATGTTTGAAATGGAGACCACGCCCATCCCAGTTAGGACAGAGGAGGACGTAGGACAGGGTCCTGAATGAGCTACCTGGACTGTTGATTTGAGGCAGCGAGCTTTCAGTAAATAACATCTACAACATCATATATTTATGTCAATTAATCGAAATAAATATAAATATGGGGACAAAAGGCATTGTTTCAGTGATCTTTTCGTACCGACAGCAATATGACGAGTTGTTTATAAGATACACGACAGAAGCCAAAACAAAACGATAGGCAACACGATCAAAGAGTCAGACGGAAAGTAACACCTATCTATCTACAGTTCATAAGAAACACATGTCAGTTTAACTTACGTATTTTGGTATGTGATTCCATCCGTCCCACACAAATTGTTTCTGCCCTTACTCTGACAACTGACCTGGGAGATGAAGCGACAGTACGGGGTACTGTTGGACTGACCGCTACAGCCGATAACCGCCACTGCCACTAGCAAGATCAAACTAACGTTATCAATAAAAAATCAAAGTACTGAAAGTACTGAGAGGCTAAACATTTTGAAAAATGTTCACAAATAACCGCTAAGCTATATTACTTTCCCCATACTCCTACACTTTGGAATGCAAAAATTACTAAAATAAGAGAACCAGAGGCTATTTTTCTTAATTTTAAGCGATTTTATATCTTCTTTAATTCTTATTTCAAATTTGACGACAATAATGTGAACAAATTAAAATAGGTAAAAAAGAATAACAAAATACACACAACCATATATTTATCGCCAACAAGCCAAATGATAAATAGCTCTATGATGAAGTTGACTAAATAGAACCTTTGGAATATCCAAGATGTTGCAATTACTATCCTATCAATATGAGGATTTAGACAAATCGGAAGGACTTTATACCTACTTCTTTATTTTGATTGTATTGCAAAGTAATAGTCCTTACTTATTATAATTATATTTGTGGTTGAGGTAAGTAAATAAGGTGTACACAGCATTTCAGATAGATTAAAGTGTAAGTAATTACATTAAATGTATTTACATGCCTATCTTCCTTAAAGTATCATGGTTAGACTTTTCTTCCAGTAATTATGTCTATAAAGACATAGTTCTTTGAGATTAAACCAGACTTCCATATATATACAAAATTTACAATATTTTCACTATAGCTACTACTATTTCTGATCTCCAACGCACTAGATAATGTCACCATGACACACTAAATGAATAAATATGTTATGGAAATATTTCGTTCTAGTTAATTGATAATTATAAACATGAATATTTTGGGGTTTTTTTTATACGCGCTTTGTTTGAAGGAATATTTTCATTTCAAGGAACTTTGATACACATTAACAAACCTTGAGAAATCAGCACAAACAACCTTCATCAAATAAAACTAAAAGACAAAAAATATAAGTTATAACAGAGTCAACATCATGATCAGTACAGTATTAAAAATATATTATTCATAAATCATGAGCACCATATGTAACTTGCCTACGAAGCGCTAACTTTTTATCTTCAAAAACTTGAAAAAGTGTCATGGCGGTGGGTGTGAAAAACCTGAAAAAATGTTATATCGGCGGGTGTGCGCGTGGGACGAACAGTCCAATTCGGTGACGTCTAATGAGGTAAAGTGATGTTATATATTAAGACGATCTTGCCACAACGACAAGGATTAAAACAAAATTGATGTTCTGCTTGTAAGTTTTGCTTGTTTACAATAGTGTTGTTAGTTGATAATTCAAACTAGGCCCCCAGACTAGCTTCTTATCAACTCGCACGTACAGTGTTCTGTACGCTTACGTCATGTCGAGAATTCCGTAAAATATATTGTTAAAAAATTATCAATAGTTCAACCACACCGTGCTTCTTTTTTGAAATATATAGTAATCGTATTGTTATTAAAAAAATAAACTAATTTTGGATGCTTTTAAAATAGCGATTTGAAAGATCGCGGGCATTATTTACGCAAAAAATGCCGCTAGAGGGCTTTAACTCTTTCGATATTTCAGCCAATGAGAAGGCCAGGATCGGTAAATTTTGTCTGAAAGGCCGTCGCAATAGGCTATGCGTACTGAGTACGTTTAGCCTAAAAACCTGAAAGGACGTTTAAAAACAACATCCTTACTCAATCTCAAAAAAGATGAAACATGAGCAATAAAGTGATAAACACAGGGTTTCTTGCTTGTTTCAATGATGAAGTCAGTTGGTATGTTTACCACAAAAATCAACGAATATGTTGTCAGTTTTATGATTACTTTTTAACAGTATCTACAAACTTAACGGATATTTGATATATAAAAACCGACTGCAGTATTAATTCTTCACACATTGTTCGGCTTGTATCTAGCTCTAAAGTTGTATAAAACGTTCTACTTACTGCTGTACAATTTTCGTATACTTACACATCATTAACGCGATATACACGGCCATTTTCGTTTTGCGTCAGAATCTCCTAAACAAGGAAAACGATTAATTATCAGTATGACGTTTAAAATGAGCTTAAGACACCTTATTGTTGAAATAACTGTTTGTTTAATAAAGCCATGTATTTACTGGATCGTTGTAGCTTTTGTGAGTTGTTTGTGTAAGGGCAGTCACTCGTGTCTTCTTCCTCTCATATACCGCTGCTGGATTATGAAATAACAGACAACCTGCTAATGGAGATAAGATGACATCCCGATAGCTCGTACGGTACAACCCTCTATCATAGGTCGCAGCCACGAGTGTTAACAATTGTGATACCCAGGACTAGAATATCGGAATGTAAATAGATATTAAGTTTCGCTGGCGGCGCGTATCAATAATGAAACGCACTATTAAGTGTGATGGAAACTAAACACATCCATTAGCTGTTCTTACGGAAACTAAGTGCCTATTACATGTTGAAAGTCTTATGGGAACTATAAAGCGCACTATCTAAGGTATTTGGGATTATAAAGCGCACTATCTAAGGTATTTGGGATTATAAAGCGCACTATCTAAGGTATTTGGGATTATAAAGCGCACTATCTATAAAGCGCACTATCTAAGGTATTTGGGATTATAAAGCGCACTATCTAAGGTGTTTGGGATTATGCAGCGCACTATCTAAGCTCATTTGGATTGTAAAGGCTTTTTGGAATTATAAAACGCACTGTCTATGCTTACTAGAAATCTGTCTAGTCACATGGGAAATATCAAACTCTCATATCAGTCACATGGGAACTATCAATTTCTCATATTATTCGCATGGGAATTATCAAGTTGTCATATTAGTCACATTGGAAATACCAAGGTCTCATATCAGTCACATGGGAACTATCAAGTTCTCATATTTGTCGCATGGGAACTATCAAGCTCTCATATAAAGCACACTGTCTAGTCACACGGGAACTATCAAGCTCTCATATAAAGCACGCTGTCTAGTCACATGGGAACTATCAAGCTCTCATATAAAGCACGCTGTCTAGTCACACGGGAACTATCAAGCTTTCATATAAAACACGCTGTCTAGTCACACGGGAACTATCAAGCTCTCATGTAAAGCATGCTGTCTAGTCACACGAGAACTATCAAGCTTTCATATAAAGCACGCTGTCTAGTCACACGGGAACTATCAAGCTCTCATGTAAAGCACGCTGTCTAGTCACACGGGAAGTATCAAGCTTTCATATAAAACACGCTGTCTAGTCACACGGGAACTATCAAGCTCTCACATAAATCACGCTGTCTAGTCACAGGGGAACTATCAAGCTCTCACATAAAGCACGCTGTCTAGTCACACGGGAAGTATCAAGCTCTCACATAAATCACGCTGTCTAGTCACACGGGAACTATCAAGCTCTCACATAAATCACGCTGTCTAGTCACACGGGAACTATCAAGCTCTCATATAAAGCACGCTGTCTAGTCACACGGGAAGTATCAAGCTCTCACATAAATCACGCTGTCTAGTCACACGGGAACTATCAAGCTCTCATGTAAAGCACGCTGTCTAGTCACACGGGAAGTATCAAGCTCTCACATAAAGCACGCTGTCTAGTCACACGGGAACTATCAAGCTCTCATGTAAAGCACGCTGTCTAGTCACATCATGTCACTGATGAGGAAATCACACGGCCTCGTCCTACTACATATCAAATATACTGACATGTGTCTAATGGTTCACTAGCAGAAAATACTGCAAACCAGTCAGCTGTTGTTAGACGATGGTACTATGTGATCGAGTTTTCAATCAATGAAAAAGTCCGTGACCTGCAATGGAATAATATTGTAACAATAGATATTAGGTCAGAATTCAGTTGGTCTTATAACACAAGTTTGACATTAGTTGTATAATACTTGTAAATGTGGTTTAGATAGGTGAACTTACCGATAAGGTCTAACAGCTATAGAAGATCGTGAAGCTACTGTATTAGTTTACTACTAAGTACAAAGACATCCATTCATTGATAAGAGACACTAGGTCTGACGACACTGAGCCAATCAACATACACAAGATGTTTGGTCCCTTTTTACTCATGTTTGTTGCCGTATCCGGTAGGTACAATTTGTGAAATGTTTACCATAGTGAGTCAATGGAATTTAAAACAGTGTGTGTATTTACAATGATCTTATCAGTACGTTTTCAATGTAATATTAATTAATTCTGTAGATATATATTTAATTTACCAAAATGAAATGTTTAGAAAACGAATCTTCCTTATATAATCTTTATGGCAACATGTACAACAAAGTATTTTATTTTCATGTCCAAATTCACTAATTTACGACCAATTTATCAATCCCTTACACAAAAAAACAACGACAACAACCCAATGAAAAATGCTCAGATACCCTTGGAAATAAAAATTGGTAATGAAGTATTTCATGAAGAGAATGTTTTAACGAGATTGTTCAGTGATTTAATCCCTGGGTTATAAGTAAGATCCGTTCACCTCTGTAATTGTCTCCATGGCGGAAATGTCGTCTTTACAATTTCATCATTCTCGGACTCTCGTCATTGAATTGAACCATATTTCAAATCCTTAGCTTTTGTAAATGTATTTATTTTAACAATGTATTGTTAAAAATCAAAATTGATTACATTGTTTAGTATTCAGTGTAGAGTTCATTAAGTCATAGATAACACACTATCAATTCTCCGGCACAAACATATCTCAAACGGGATATAGCGGTATGTTAAAGTGTAGATAGGAACTCAGGAAAAGAATACTAGTATGAACATTTGGTACACTCCCGATTACATGTATACATTTGTTACACTCCCGATTACATGTATACATTTGGTACACTCCCGATTACATGTGTACATTCGGTACACTCCCGATTACATGTGCACATTCGGTACACTCCCGATTACATGTGTACATTTGGTACACTCCCAATTACATGTGTACATTCGGTACACGTCAAATTACATGTATACATTAGGTACACTCTTGATTACATGTGGACGTTCGGTACACTCCCGATTACGTGTGTACGTTCGGTACACTCTCGATTACATGTGTACATTTGGTACACTACAAATTACATGTGCACATTTGGTACACTCCCGATTACATGTGCACATTCTGTAAACTACAGAGTACATGTGTACATTCGGTACACTCCCGATTACATGTATACATTTGGTACACTCCCGATTACATATGTACATTTGGTACACTCCCGATTACATGTTTACTTTCGGTACATTCCCGATTACATGTGTACATTTGGTACACTCCCGATTACATGTTTACATTCGGTACACTCCCGATTACATGTTTACATTCGGTACACTCCCGATTACATGTGTACATTCGGTACACTCCCGATTACAAATGTACATTTAATCGTGAGTGTACCAAATCTACATATGTAATCTGTAGTGAACAGAATGTGCACATGTAATCGGGAGTGTACCGAACGTACACACGTAATCGGGAGTTTACCGAACGTACACATGTAATCGGAAGTGTACCGAATGTACACATGTACTCTGTAGTTTACAGAATGTGCACATGTAATCGGGAGTGTACCAAATGTGCACATGTAATTTGTAGTGTACCAAATGTACACATGTAATCGGGAGTGTACCGAACGTACACATATAATCGGGAATGTACCGAATGTACACATGTAATTACATGTTTACTTTAGGTACACTCCCGATTACGTGTTTACATTCGGTACACTCCCGATTACATGTTTACTTTCGGTACACTCCCGATTACGTGTTTACATTCGGTACACTCCCGATTACATGTGTACGTTCGGTACACTCCCGATTACGTGTGTACGTTCGGTACACTACAAATTACATGTGCACATTTGGTACACTCCCGATTACATGTATACATTTGTTACACTCACGACTAAATGTGTATATTCGGTACAATACAGATTACATGCGTACTTTTGTTTCACTCCCGATTACATGTGTACATTTGTTACACTCCCGATTACATATGTACATTTGTTACACTCCCGATTACAAATGTACATTTGTTACACCCCGATTACATATGTACATTTGTTACATTCCCGATGACATGTATACATTTGGCACACTACCGATTACATGTGTACGTTCGGTACACTCCCGATTACATGTGCACATTCTGTAAACTACAGAGTACATGTATACATTTGGCATACTCCCGATTACATGTGTACGTTCGGTACACTCCCGATTACATGTGCACATTCTGTAAACTACAGAGTACATGTGTACATTTGGTACACTCCCGATTACATGTATACATTTGGTACACTCCCGATTACATATGTACATTAGGTACACTCCCGATTACATGTACGTTCGGTACACTCCCGATTACATGTGCACATTCTGTAAACTACAGATAACATGTGTATATTCTGTTCACTACAGATTACATATGTAGATTTGGTACACTCACGATTACATTTGTACATTCGGTACACTCCGGATTACATGTGTACATTTGGTACACTCCCGACTACATGTTTACATTCGGTACACTCCCGATTACATGTATACATTCGGTACACTCCCGATTACATGTGTACATTTAGTACACTACAAATTACATGTGCACATTCGGTACACGCCTGACTACATGTTTACATTCGGTACACTCCCGATTTCATGTGTACATTCGGTACACTACAAATTACATGTGCACATTTAGTGCACTCCCGATTACATGTACGTTCGGTACACTCCCGATTACATGTGCACATTCTGTAAACTACAGATAACATGTGTATATTCTGTTCACTACAGATTACATATGTAGATTTGGTACACTCATGATTACATTTGTACATTCGGTACACTCCGGATTACATGTGTACATTTGGTACACTCCCGACTACATGTTTACATTCGGTACACTCCCGATTACATGTATACATTCGGTACACTCTCGATTACATGTGTACGTTCGGTACACTCCCGATTACATGTGTACATTTAGTACACTACAAATTACATGTGCACATTCGGTACACTCCCGATTACATGTGTGCATTCGGTTCAATCCCCATTACATGTGTACATTCGGTACACTCCCGATTACATGTGTACATTCGGTACACGCCTGACTACATGTTTACATTCGGTACACTCCCGATTTCATGTGTACTTTCGGTACACTACAAATTACATGTGCACATTTAGTGCACTCCCGATTACATGTACGTTCGGTACACTCCCGATTACATGTGCACATTCTGTAAACTACAGATAACATGTGTATATTCTGTTCACTACAGATTACATATGTAGATTTGGTACACTCACGATTACATTTGTACATTCGGTACACTCCGGATTACATGTGTACATTTGGTACACTCCCGACTACATGTTTACATTCGGTACACTTCCGAATACATGTGTACATTTGTTTCACTCCCGATTACATGTGTACATTTGGTACACTCCCGATTACATATGTACATTTGGTACACTCCCGATTACATTTGTACATTCGGTACACTACAGATAACATGTGTACATTCGGTACACTCCCGATTACATGTGTACATTCGGTACTCCCGCTTACATATTTACATTCGGTACACTCCCGATTATATGTGTACATTCGGTATACTCCCGATTACATGTGTATATTCAGTACACTTCCGATTACATGTGTACATTTGGTACACTCCCGATTACATGTGTACATTTGGTACACTACAGATTACATGTGTACATTTGTTACACTTCCGATTACATGTATACATTTGGTACACTACAGATTTCATGTGTACATTTGTTACACTCCCGATTACATGTTTACATTCGGTACACCCCCGATTACATGTTTACATTTGACTGATAAAACATCGAGGAATATTTATGTGGTAAAAAGATACAGTCAAAGGCGTTTTTGTTATTTTAAGAGGCTTTCAATATTTCAGGTATTTTTGAAGTTATTTGAACAATATTTCTGTAAACAGTAAACCAGCAATGGTGACATATTCTTAAGTTAAGTCCGTGTTTCCGTATTTACTGAAAATACCGTAAGTACTCCTTGGATACCATACACAATGCATGCCAATACCAATGTGTCCATTTTGTTATTCCATTAACTATTCATGGCACCATCACCGCACTGCCGAGCGGATAAAAGCTTTACCATTTTGTCTACAGCATTCACTTTTGATGAATTACAAACACGGTCTGGTTGGTATTGTATGACAATCAGGCACAGAGCTTGTTATCCTTACGGCGAACATCTGATGTGTGGCACGGACAACTACACCTATTACAACAAGTAAGTTTATATCACACCGGAAGCGGAAGTCGTTAGTGTGCTCATGATTAAGAAATCTGTCTGATTTTGAAATGACTGATCTTGAAAAATGTACATATATATATCATGTCGAAAAAATGTTCATGTATCACAACCTGTGACAATGATTACTGTGGATAAAATAAATAAGCATACAATTTGTGCGAATGCCAATTTAAGTTTGGAACAAATGTTTAGAAGCATACACATACAAATAATTTTAGGTGCGAGTTCACGAAGTCCCATTGCTTGAACAATCAAATACATGTGGCCCATGACGGTTCGTGCAACGGCGAAAGTCATCTTTCCAGCAATCTAACTGCTGGAGAAATACTTCTGCTGCATTTCATGTGCGAGGATATGGGCACACACCGATGCGCGGAGGATTATGATCCAGTGTGCGGCTCTAACGGTGTGACTTACATGAACGAGTAAGTTTACACAATGTTTGTTTATGCATTACCTACTTATTTTCTGAACCGGATGATGCATTGGTTTTGTTCATTATTTTTCCTGCTCATATTTTATAAAATGATCAAATATCAACATTTCTATATGACTGCGAATGGACGGACAATGTGTGAGATTGAAGACCACCATTCTGTGCTATGGTTTTGTCGTTCTCATGTTGACTTTACTGAGCTTGGTTGTTCCGTTTTCGTGTTGTAATGATGTAATGTTGTAATAGACGATATCTATTTGACCTACAAAAAAGGCGGATGTCCTGCTAGAGCGATAGTGGTAGTTTAGCTGTAAACACTCATACCAGTGAGTTTGTGGTTCTATAAGGAAACATCCTCTGTTAAGTCAAGTGGACACTTGATGCATCTATACAAATGTTTAGAAGTTCATGATTCCGTTTGGGCTATACGCATTTCCGTAACTTGTGTCCTGGTACGTAAAGCTTGCTTGCTCCTACACCACAGCCAAAAGTAGATCGTTATGGAAACCCGCGAGATTATCTTTGTCCGCATTTGATATACAAGACATACCATAATGCTAGCATTTGTTAGAATTCTATATCGAATACACCACGCATGTCAGATTTGATATCTTCACATTTTCTTTAAACAGAGAACACAAAGCAGGTTCTTTATGTAACACACACGTTATACTAACATTCTGGATCATTTTTGTTCATTTCGGAAATTTCGAAAATCGTAATTAAATTTGAAATATTACCTTCGGGAAAAGGTTAGTCATTTAATTGGTACAACACAATGTATTAAAAACCTAGATTTAGAGCTGATGAGATTCAGATCTAGATTTAGATCTGATGAGACTCAGATCTAGATTTAGACCTGATGAGATAAAGGGATTATCGAGACACCTACATTTACTGTTCTTGAGTTTATAACTGTTTTCCGTACTGTCTTTATTACTTCATTGATCATATATATATATATATCCACGATTTACAACAGATCATTGATCATATATATATATATATATATATATATATATATATATCGATTCACAACAGATCATTGATCATATATATATATATATCCACGATTCACTTGATCATATATATATATATATATATATATATATCACGATTCACAACAGATCCTTCATATATATATATATATATATCCACGATTCACAACAGATCATTGATCATATATATATATATCCACGATTCACAACAGATCATTGATCATATATATATATATATATATATCCACGATTCACAACAGATCATTGATCATATATATATATCCACGATTCACTTGATCATATATATATATCCACGATTCACAACAGATCCTTGATCATATATATATATATCCACGATTCACAACAGATCATTGATCATATATATATATATCCACGATTCACAACAGATCATTGATCATATATATATATATATATACATACACGATTCACAACAGATCATTGATCATATATATATATATATATATATATATATCCACGATTCACAACAGATCATTGATCATATATATATAAATATATATTCACGATTCACAACAGATCATTGATCATATATATATATATCCACGATTCACAACAGATCATTGATCATATATATATATATATATATATCCACGATTCACAACAGATCATTGATCATATATATATATACACGATTCACTTGATCATATATATATATCCACGATTCACAACAGATCCTTGATCATATATATATATATCCACGATTCACAACAGATCATTGATCATATATATATATATCCACGATTCACAACAGATCATTGATCATATATATATATATATATACATACACGATTCACAACAGATCATATATATATATATATATATATATATATATATCCACGATTCACAACAGATCATTGATCATATATATATAAATATATATCCACGATTCACAACAGATCATTGATCATATATATATATATCCACGATTCACAACAGATCATTGATCATATATATATATATATATATATCCACGATTCACAACAGATCATTGATATATATATATCCACGATTCACAACAGATCATTGATCATATATATATATATATATCCACGATTCACAACAGATCATTGATCATATATATATAATTCACAACAGATCGATAGTTATTATTCATAAAATGACGGAAAGATAAAACAAAGCAATTAAATAGTGTAAACCAAGCATTTCCACTTTTTCCCCCAACTATACTAGATTGTACATGTGACAACAGCAACAAAAATCGTATTTGGGGGTTCTGGAGAAAAGAGGAGGTAGACAATTATCAAGAGTAAGTCATGCCTAAACCCATCGTAGTGCACTAACTGGGTTTAGATAGAGGGTTAAACAGTTAGTGATGCCTTAATCCATCGTTGTGCACCAACTGGGTTTAGTTTGAGGGTATAACGGTTAGTGATGTCTAAACGCATCGTAGTGCACTAACTGGGTTTAGTTTGAGGGTTAAACAGTTAGTGATGTCTAAACGCATCGTAGTGGACTAACTGGGTTTAGATGGAGGGTTAAACAGTAAGTGATGTCTAAACCGATCGTAGTGCACTAACTGGGTTTAGTTTGAGGGTTAAACAGTTAGTGATGTCTAAACCCATCGTAGTGGACTAACTGGGTTTAGATAGAGGGTTAAACAATTAGCGATGCCTAAACCCGTAATGCACTAAATGGGCCTAATTTGAGGGTTAACAATAAACAATGAAACACTGTCATTGTTGAGAGAATTTAGGGAATCCAAAGTGTAGGATGTTTTGTCTCAACCGGAATACCGACACACTTAAAAATCTATACCAGTAATGGGTCTAAATCATAACAGGAAACAGAGAACGAGGAAAATTATGTAAAATTCACAGAAAAGGGGCTTGTTTAACGGTTCATCCGATTTTCTGGTTAAACAGTTTGAACATCAATAAAAAGATGAAACAGAATTTTTTTTCAAATAATAACATTCAACTGATTCCCATTGCTGTGACGGAAATCTCCTCTTTTGAATATTGTTTATGTATTTGTCAATATCCCCCATAGTAGGACTTTAATCTGTTACCTAGTGGGAATCAGAGGTCAATATCTCCCATAGTAGGACTGTAGTCTGTTACCTAGTGGGAAACAGAGGTCAATATCTCCCATAGTAGGACTGTAATCTGTTACCTAGTGGGAAACAGAGGTCAATATCTCCCATAGTAGGACTGTAATCTGTTACCTAGTGGGAATCACTCCCATAGAGGTCAATATCTCCCATAGTAGGACTGTAATCTGTTACCTAGTGGGAAACAGAGGTCAATATCTCCCATAGTAGGACTGTAATCTGTTACCTAGTGGGAAACAGAGGTCAATATCTCCCATAGTAGGACTGTAATCTGTTACCTAGTGGGAAACAGAGGTCAATATCTCCCATAGTAGGACTGTAATCTGTTACCTAGTGGGAAACGGAGGTCAATATCTCCCATAGTAGGACTGTAATCTGTTACCTAGACTGTAATCTGTTACCTAGTGGGAAACAGAGGTCAATATCTCCCATAGTAGGACTGTAATCTGTTACCTAGTGGGAAACAGAGGTCAATATCTCCCATAGTAGGACTGTAATCTGTTACCTAGTGGGAAACAGAGGTCAATATCTGTAATCTGTTACCTAGTGGGAAACAGAGGTCAGTATCTCCCACAGTAGGACTGTAATCTGTTACCTAGTGGGAAACAGAGGTCAATATCTCCCATAGTAGGACTGTAATCTGTTACCTAGTGGGAAACAGAGGTCAATATCTCCCATAGTAGGACTGTAATCTGTTACCTAGTGGGAAACAGAGGTCAGTATCTCCCACAGTAGGACTGTAATCTGTTACCTAGTGGGAAACAGAGGTCAATATCTGCCACAGTAGGACTGTAATCTGTTACCTAGTGGGAAACAGAGGTCAATGTCTCCCATAGTAGGACTGTAATCTGTTACCTAGTGGGAAACAGAGGTCAATATCTCCCATAGTAGGACTGTAATCTGTTACCTAGTGGGAAACAGAGGTCAATATCTCCCATAGTAGGACTGTAATCTGTTACCTAGTGGGAAACAGAGGTCAGTATCTCCCACAGTAGGACTGTAATCTGTTACCTAGTGGGAAACAGAGGTCAATATCTCCCATAGTAGGACTGTAATCTGTTACCTAGTGGGAAACGGAGGTCAATATCTCCCATAGTAGGACTGTAATCTGTTACCTAGTGGGAAACAGCCATAGTAGGACTGTAATCTGTTACCTAGTGGGAAACAGAGGTCAATATCCCCCATAGTAGGACTGTAATCTGTTACCTAGTGGGAAACAGAGGTCAATATCTCCCATAGTAGGACTGTAATCTGTTACCTAGTGGGAAACAGAGGTCAATATCTCCCATAGTAGGACTGTAATCTGTTACCTAGTGGGAAACAGAGGTCAATATCTCCCATAGTAGGACTGTAATCTGTTACCTAGTGGGAAACAGAGGTCAATATCTCCCATAGTAGGACTGTAATCTGTTACCTAGTGGGAAACAGAGGTCAATATCTCCCATAGTAGGACTGTAATCTGTTACCTAGTGGGAAACAGAGGTCAATATCTCCCATAGTAGGACTGTAATCTGTTACCTAGTGGGAAACAGAGGTCAATGTCTCCCATAGTAGGACTGTAATCTGTTACCTAGTGGGAAACAGAGGTCAATATCTGTAGGACTGTAATCCCTAGTGGGAAACAGAGGTCAACTGTAATCTGTTACCTAGTGGGAAACAGAGGTCAATATCTGCCATAGTAGGACTGTAATCTGTTACCTAGTGGGAAACAGAGGTCAATATCTCCCATAGTAGGACTGTAATCTGTTACCTAGTGGGAAACAGAGGTCAATATCTCCCATAGTAGGACTGTAATCTGTTACCTAGTGGGAAACAGAGGTCAATATCTCCCATAGTAGGACTGTAATCTGTTACCTAGTGGGAAACAGAGGTCAATATCTCCCATAGTAGGACTGTAATCTGTTACCTAGTGGGAAACAGAGGTCAATATCTCCCATAGTAGGACTGTAATCTGTTACCTAGTGGGAAACAGAGGTCAATATCTCCCATAGTAGGACTGTAATCTGTTACCTAGTGGGAAACAGAGGTCAATATCTCCCATAGTAGGACTGTAATCTGTTACCTAGTGGGAAACAGAGGTCTCCCATAGTAGGACTGTAATCTGTTACCTAGTGGGAAACAGAGGTCAATATCTCCCATAGTAGGACTGTAATCTGTTACCTAGTGGGAAACAGAGGTCAATATCTCCCATAGTAGGACTGTAATCTGTTACCTAGTGGGAAACAGAGGTCAATATCTCCCATAGTAGGACTGTAATCTGTTACCTAGTGGGAAACAGAGGTCAATATCTCCCATAGTAGGACTGTAATCTGTTACCTAGTGGGAAACAGAGGTCAATATCTCCCATAGTAGGACTGTAATCTGTTACCTAGTGGGAAACAGAGGTCAATATCTCCCATAGTAGGACTGTAATCTGTTACCTAGTGGGAAATAAAGAACAATATCTCCCATAGTAGGACTGTAATCTGTTACCTAGTAGTAGGACTGTAATCTGTTACCTAGTGGGAAACAGAGGTCAATATCTCCCATAGTAGGACTGTAATCTGTTACCTAGTGGGAAACAGAGGTCAATATCTCCCATAGTAGGACTGTAATCTGTTACCTAGTGGGAAACAGAGGTCAATATCTCCCATAGTAGGACTGTAATCTGTTACCTAGTGGGAAACAGAGGTCAATATCTCCCATAGTAGGACTGTAATCTGTTACCTAGTGGGAAACAGAGGTCAATATCTCCCATAGTAGGACTGTAATCTGTTACCTAGTGGGAAACAGAGGTCAATATCTCCCATAGTAGGACTGTAATCTGTTACCTAGTAGGGATCAATATCTCCATAGTAGGACTGTAATCTGTTACCTAGTGGGAAACAGAGGTCAATATCTCCCATAGTAGGACTGTAATCTGTTACCTAGTGGGAAACAGTCAATATCTCCCATAGTAGGACTGTAATCTGTTACCTAGTGGGAAACAGAGGTCATTATCTCCCATAGTAGGACTGTAATCTGTTACCTAGTGGGAAACAGAGGTCTGTAGGACTGTAATCTGTTACCTAGTGGGAAACAGAGGTCAATATCTCCCATAGTAGGACTGTAATCTGTTACCTAGTGGGAAACAGAGGTCAATATCTCCCATAGTAGGACTGTAATCTGTTACCTAGTGGGAAACAGAGGTCAATATCTGCCATAGTAGGACTGTAATCTGTTACCTAGTGGGAAACAGAGGTCAATATCTCCCATAGTAGGACTGTAGTCTGTTACCTAGTGGGAAACAGAGGTCTTTCTCCCATAGTAGAGTTAAATATCTGCCAGTAGGACTGTAATCTGTTACCTAGCAATCAAACTCCCAATGGACTGTAGTTACCTAGTGGGAAACAGATACAGTCATGTAATCTGTTACCTAGTGGGAAACAGAGGTCTTTTCGAGAAATACAGATGTAGCAATCAAACTCAATGGAAGCAGAGATACAGTCATATCTGTCCACTTAATGACACAGAGAAATGTTGGACTGATTTTTAAGTCTTTAGCTCCTTCAAAGAAGCATGGTTTTGATTGTACTGACTATAGCAAGCTTGGTACTGTTGTCAGGTAGTGATATAAATAAAAATCACTGTTTTACACTGAACCTGGTAATATACACACGTACGGCACATTTGTCTAAAACTGCCAGATAAAAAAAATAAATAGATAAAAAATATAAATAGATAAAAAGCATTTATTTGATTCATTCGGGTATTCCTCCTTCGTTACAAAATTTAGGCCCTTAGAATTACTGACAAGTCCTAGAAGGACGAAACATCTTAACTTTACCGTATCTAACTCTAAATCTTTAATTACACAATGTACGAGTAAAAACAAATTTGGAATTTTTTCAAATGCCAGGATGTTGTTCCGTCTACCAAACTGTACATCCGGTCTTTAATTGTAAACCCTATACAGTCCTAACAAATTGCGATATCGGCAATATCTTCATTTCCTCTGAGGCGTCAATCATTTTGATAGGTGTGGAAATCAGGGAGTTTTCCTGTGATACAACATAGCTTGTATCAGTTGGCTTGTAACCTTAAACAGGTAACCTTAAACAGGCGTGGCAATCTTTATTCTAAGATAACAATGACTTATACTTAGTTGTTTCACTTTGTATGTCATTTTCGTCTGATCACTTTCCAATAAGACAAATACAGCTGGCTTTTTATGTACATTACTACACAATAGTGAGGTACGGGAGTAGGAATAAATGGGTAGTGTTTTCAAGCAAACTAAAATTATCTTAAGATAATTAACGCGGTAAAGTTGATGATATAATGGCGGTTCCGGCTAATAATACCAATAAAGACAAACTAACTGTATTCACAAAACTCTGTCACATAGTGTGTGCATGAAAGTTGTCCTTTTTAATTACAGGTGTGAATATGAACAGGTGAGATGTATGCACAATTCCCTCACCATAGCCAGCAGAGGGCCGTGTGCACCTTTATTAGTTGGCTAAGTACTGGTCACACTTGTTTGTGTAAATCAAATATATATGATAAAACCACTGCTTTCAAGTCTTGTTTTTAATTCAAGTAAAATAGTTTCGGAAATATTCTAGATATGGGCTGATAAAGCTCGATCAATATCTATAGGTGACATCAGAGCGAACATTATCGCAAGAAACCACGTGGCTGTCGACAAGATTTAACGTCACTCTGGGACTAGAGGTGATGGTATATTCATACCGGAATGATATGAGGAAAAAATAGAACTTTTAGATGTGTGACGAAATTTAATTAAATATGACACTGAGCTACTTCTGTGCTCTATGAAAATGTTCTCAGTTAAAATTTAGCCGACCATGTTCCCGCTCGACATTGTATGCTTTCAGCAGATGTTTCAAGAAAGCGGGTTACTCCTGCACCATATGTGGTGGTAAATTATTACAAATCGAACATTGGAACAGTACTGATCAGCTAAAAACATTTCTTTGAGAAGCGATGGTAGAGCGAAATGCCACGACTCTGAGTGAAGGTGATAGTGGAAGGGCCATAGCTCTGACAATGCAGGGGCATTCGCAACATCGTGTAGTACCGTAATATGGTGTACATGAGACAATAATATCCCGTTTAGCTGGACGTCTCAGAGCTACAGGGAAATTGGGTGACCGTCACAGGAGCGGACGCCCGCCCATACGTCGCGACGTCAAAATGGAGGCATGCGTCTGTCGCTCCTCAGTAACCGACTTCAGACGTCGATGGAGACGACACGCCAAGTTGTCGGACTCATAATCGGCCAGTATGTCCAAGATCGGCTACGAATCAGTTGCGAGAGTTTCATTTCAGGACACGACGTCCCATACTGATCCGCCACTTACGCAGAAGCGACGCCAACGTCAAATGCAGTGGCTGCTTGCACATGCACCTAATCGGATTTGTTTGGCCCATTGAAGACGCTTGTTTACTGGTCAGATGGACAATAGGTCAATCGACGTCGTGGTAAGCGATATTCTGACATCTGCATAACAGAAAGCGATATGTTCAGGGGGAGGGTCTGTTGTGGTATGGGAGTGGAATAATATTCCTCAAAGGACAATAAACACCTTGGTGGGGTTAATGTTAAGGAGAGTGAGAGCCGTGACTGAAGCCAGAGGTGGGCACACACGCTACTGATTAGGAGCAGGAACGGCGCAGGGTGTTGGGCACCATTGTTTTAATGCTATCCACGCGAACGTCGTCTGTGATAGGACAGCAAACACATCAAAATTTATTCAGTAATGATCGAGAAACCCAAACAATGTACTAATCATCAATGAATCATGTAAATAATAACAACAATCGAAAATAAACCTGTGTTTCTTTTGTCCACAAGTTAAACAACAGATATTGTTCATGGCATTATTTATAGATTGATACACACAATGAACTATGACTCCGTAGTATCAGAAATGATAACAAAAATGTAACACGCTCGTAATTTGTAACGCTTTGTAATTTGGTAATTTCCTTGTTATTATTGAATCTCAACCTTTTATTGGGAGCGAAAAAAGATAAGAGACTAGCAATGCAAACATTTTTAGATACATTTAGGCTTCAATTGTGGTCATCTTTAAATGAGAACCTGTCAATGTGATAGATATTGTTGGCTGGTGGACGGACACACGGACCGATCTAAAGCGGAATGTGATAAGTAGTATGTAGGAAAGTGTAGCTTGCAGTTGTTTACACTATAAACGAAGGACCAAAAGTCATTTTCTAAAATTAACAAGATATGTTTGAGAAACAATATGTCACGTGGGGAAGTCATTCAAGAAGATTAAGCAAATCCGAGGCTAGCAGATTCAGCTCAACTTCATTTTTGCAATAATTGATGATGTTGGTGAACAGATGTGGTACAACTGAGTGATAAGAAACACTTTAGGAATGCGTGTACTAAATAAGTAAATGCTACTTATTGATAAGGAGACTATGGGACACACTCTTCATGTCAAGGACAGCAAAATGCGCCTATAGTATGTACTTGTGTCAGCCAAACGACGTGGGAGACCTGATGTTTTTACTAAAAGTCTCGTAGCTCTGGCAAAGATTGACAGAGTTTGACCAAGATTGAACTGATGTCGCACTAATATAAAACAACACAAATTTATTGGTTCCAATAAAACAGGTGAAGTTAGGCCGGAAACGAAGATCTATTGAAGACCTGTCACGTTGGCAAATGTTTCTCTTGACCATTAACGGCCAAATTCTAGAATATTGATATAAAACAATACACCAAATTTTATTCAAAGCAACCGGTCAGAAAAGTTGTTTAACAGATAATACCCCCATCTTCCATCTTGTTGCACTGAAGGGAAGTCAAGTATATACATACACACTAACCCATTATCACACAGCACACATCGGCGTCATGTACATCCTTTACCTTGTACAGTATGTGATTGCCCGTACGGGATACCGTTACTAAAGCCCCTTATTCAGTTTATAAACATAAAGATTTCGATGAGGCTTCACACACTACTTACTGCTGCTAGAACAGGACAGGACATTTCATTCATGGAGGGAACGGACCACTTTGCAAAAGGAACATGGAAACTTATCCGATCGGAAAACTTCGGACAGTATTGTAAATACATGGGTGAGTAAATACAACATACTGTAACTTTATTCTGACTTATAAACAATGTTTTTAATTAATTACATAAATGAAGGAGAAGACAGAGAAATTGTCAGACAAGATGGCGTGAACACAGGTAGATCGCGTAATCGGTGTTCCGTGATAGAGTCTGAAATATGTGTGGTTTACTTGACTGGGCAGTGTTGTGACTGAGCGAGGTAGTGAGGATTTGTTCATGGATTGAAGTGGCTGTGAAAAGGTAGACTTTGATGTACTCTGATATACTTTATTCAGCTGAAAGGTTTGTTTGGAATTGGAATTGACCGTTGTAGCATACGATATATACGATATATATATAATCATTGGTTATAGGCATTTAGCTGTGATGAGAAACTCCGGTAACGCACGGGTCACGCTCTATTGCGCCTACCTGAGATTGTCATTTTGAACGAAATCGCTGGCGGACTAGACAAGAGTCAAGAGTCAAGAAGTTTTATTTTCATATTACAAACAGGATACACATTAGCACTGTAGTGCTATTCTTGCGACAAACATAGGTATAAGATTAACAATATCACAGTGCAGTTATATAAATACTATGTACATAACGAGATCAAAATCAACATATCACAGTTAGTTTAGACCTAGATATAATATTTAAAGAAACAGATTAAAATGGATTCTTTTATCTCACACAGGATCACTAAATGCTGAAGTTAAGACACTATCAGTGTGTAATTTACATATATGTTAACATAGCAAAACATAAAAATTGACATAATATACACTAATATATTGTGTATTAAAAGAAACAAGACAAGCTAGTCTGGCAGACCCTAAAATTGTTTTGTGTTACATGGACCGCTCACAATCCATATGCGACGTGACTCTTACAAACGGTAGCAATGAAACAATAAAAGACTTCTTCCATGATACAGCCACAATAGGTAATGGAAGTACAGCTAGCGCAAGTCACACGTGAGCGAAGTCAAGTGAAATCGGAAGGGAAAAGCAGAGACAAATAGAACTGGAAGGAGTAAGTGCTGACTTACTCGTACTTATTGTTGGTGAGAGAAGATATTCTAGAGCAGCAACATTTCCTAACTAAGAAGCACACAGAGGAATTACGTGAGTTACGATTAGAGGTTAAAGAGTTCAAAGAAAGGGTTATAGCGAAGGACAAAACAATCTAGTTATTGGAAGCACGCTTACTTCAACAGAGAAGAGAATAGTATGAATCAGTCTATTGATCAGGCTATAGCAAGTAGTCCACTTTCATACGCGGTACATTATGCTCGCTTAAGGTATCATCAGGTACTCGCCACACCAATAATGACGAAGAATGCGTTATTGATGAGGATGATACAAGCGTTATAACCGTACATGGAGGCGATGTCAACAGTAGCTCCGTATCACAAAATAGTTGTGCAGCGGCTCACCCAGGCAGCAGAGAGGGCATCCTGTTGGGTTTGGATGAAGAGGGACAAGAGTAGCTGGACACCCACCACCGACGCGCAGTGACTGAACACCACTGTGGACCCCCCATCCCGAGAGTGTACCGAGTAAGGGGTCGAAAGGATGGCCTCGGCTGAGGACGTCGGCGGTGTAGCAGCAATTCCATCTAGCTGTTTGTACGCACTAAATTTGTGACATTTGACAATGTAGTTAGAAACGAGGAAAAGCAAAATAGTAAGGACTCCAGAAGTGTGATGTCAGTAACTGTAAAAGACATGGCACAATGTGATACAGACATGGCACAATGTGATACACACATGGCTAAGCGACAAGTAACTTTTCATGGCTATAACACTAAACAACAACTTGGTGTTGGAACGGCGGAATCGCGTAACGAATTTCGTGGCGTTATACGTAAACCAAAAGTAAAAAGGAATGATTATGTCAGAGGCTATTCAATGCTGCGTTCATAAAATATCCTATTGTATAAGAATTACTGCTAACGCACCACAGGAGGACGTAATCAGTTCCGTTGTCTCCTATGCAGCCAGCAGAGGTGTATCCTGAAATATTGGGATAATCCAAAAAATCTGACCTACACGGCAAAACTCGATATACTCGAGCAACATTTTGCTCTAGCAACAGATCCTGATTTCTGGCCGGAGAATGTTCTCATCCGCTAATGGGAGGATCACACGAAGGAAAGATTCGCAAATAAACGCTCATCATGGAGGTAAACAATTACTTCATACGCCCGTGCTATTCGCTACTTCTCGTTCTGTTTGTGAATCTTCTAACCTGGAATACAGGAGGCGTTATGTATGCGACACCTCTTCTGTCAGAGGTTTTAAAGGATATAGACTTAGCTGTTATAACTGAACATTGGTTACCCCCAGAACAGTTAAGCTTCTTAGCGAGTATCGATGTCAATTAAAAGGCATTTTGTGGGTCTGATGATCGCATGGTGCAAGATATTGAGCAAAGATTACAACATCGTGGCTGTGGAGGTGTAGCAATTCTCTGGAAGAACCATCTGATGGTGTCACCACTTTTAAGTGAGGGCAGAGATCGAGTAATTGGTGTATCCGTGCAACTTCAAGATAAATCATATTTATATGTGATCGGAGTTCTCCTACCATCTACAAATCGTCCAATTTGCGAATACAAATACACCCTCGAATGTCTTTCCGATTTGTTCGACCGATATCATGAGCAAGGGGAGATTATCATACTCGGTGACCTAAATGGACACATTTCAAAGAAGTTTGGTATTAAAAATCATATGCACGCTAACGAAAGAGGCACTTTACTGGAAACTTTTATTGATGAGTAGCAACTCGTATCAGCTAACTCACAAGAATGGTCTAAAGGTGGTGACTTTACGTTTGTGTCCAACGATGGTCTGAATCATTCTCTTATTGGTCATATTCTCGTCGAAAGCAGTAAGCGTGATTTGGTGAGATCTTGTGATACATGATGACCACTTCCTTAATGTATCAGATCATGTGCCAGTTACAATTTCTGATGATATATTGTTTTCCCTTCACCAACAATCTAAAATGTCACGAGCACTTAATTGGAGAAAGGCAACCGACGAAGAGAAGATGGTATACGTGACCAGGCTAAATGAGACACTGGGAAGAATGCTTGATTACAAGAGATCTAGAATGAATGCTGAACAGCTGGAATCATTATTACAATATACTGAGGCAGCAATTCGTGAGGCTGCGAATGCTTCGTTGACACTCAAGCGATATCGTCCATTCCTTAAGCCCTACTGGAACTACAGCAATGTTAAGGATCTCCATGCTACTATGCGGTGATATCGTGCTTACTGGATACAACAGGACACTCCTTTAACTCTAACAGTGTGAACAAAAGAGCAAATCGGGAATTTCCAACAGGAAAGCATGGAAAGAACACTATGAAGATTTAGCAAAGCCGGGGATAAAACATCGCTTTGATGCCATACTCAAAGACGAGGTCGAACGCAGCATCGATGGAATGTATGAGCAACGTTTCGCTAATCAGAATACGGTTTGCATGAATAGCGTAGAAGTGGATGAGTTGGATAAAGCGATCAGAGATATGAAAAATGGAAAAGCAGGTGGACACGACAACATTGTTATAGAACATATCCGTCATGGAGGGATTGTGTTATAAAAACGTGGTAGTTATGCTCTTCAAAGCTATTTTTGATCTGGAGGTTTACCCAAGGCATTTTAAAAAGAGAATTGTTATAACACTATTCAAAGGAGGGAAAAAAGATCGACTGGACATGAATAATTACAGAGAATTACTTTAACATCAGCACTGCAAAAGCTTCTTGAGAAGATTCTGTAAAGACGAATAGTGAAGCGTCGTTCAAAAATTAAATTTCTGCACAAATTTCAACAAGGATTCCGGCCTCAATGTGGCAGTATAACAGCCACTTTTACTGTAAAGTAGTCGATATGTCATTATCTGGAACATAACTCTAAAGTTTTTGCAGCGTTTCTTGACAATGCAAAAGCCTTTAACAGCGTCTGGATACAGGGACTGCTGTACAAGGTATACAAATTAGGCTTTAACGGAAAATTCTGGAGGACTAAAAGATTAGTTTCATGGAGTGACAGCTTGTGTATTATACAATGGACAAAAGAGCGAGGAGTACCCTGTTGAACAAGGGGTCGGTCAGGGAAGGACTCAGTCTGCATGGCTATTCCTCGTCATGATTAATAACTTAGCAACTAAGTTAGAGGTAAGCGCTCTTGGACTTAGCATTCAAAATCTACATATCCCTTGTGTTTTCTTAGCAGACGATACCTTACTATTGGCAGCTTCAATCCGGAATCTACAATTGCAGTTAGACATTGTACATGATTATGCAAAAACTTGGAGACTCAACTACAATTCATTAAAGTCATCATTGATGCTGTTTACCTGTCGGAAACGTCTTCCAAAGGAACCAGGGGTTCAGTGTTGTTTAGGAAATACTCCAATATTCTGGGACACATCAAAAGTATACGCGGGAATAACATTATGTTCCAACCTTAAACCCGACAAGCATATCGTAAATTCGTGCGGAAAGGGGCGTGCAATTGTTAATAGCCTTATAGATATTGGGATGCACCAGAATGGCATCAACCCACTACGTAGTCTAAGAATTATCAACTCAGTTATTCTACCAGTTATGCTGCACGGATGTGAACTGTGGGCAGCACCAGTCACGTCATCAATGGTAGAATTAGAACGTACGCAATAATACGCTGCGAGGAAATGTCAGGGTTTCGAAAAGACATCGTCATCAGCAATAACTACAAGGGCTCTTGGGCAAACAGATGTTTAGTGTGAGGTTAAAAAATGCAAACTATTTTTCTGGAATAATGCTAGCTGTGAGTTAATTTGGAAAACCTTATTTATTGTTCGATTACGTAGCTTCGTGTTTGGACAATACACATCCCACAAAGCTAGTTTTATCACAGATGTATCGGAGACAATGCTAAAATTTGGTATACATTCATTCTTTATGGAATTTGTATTTTCTTCACTGAAATGCAGCGCGGGGCAATGGAAGCGTTTTATCAAGAACGTTACCGAAAAGTATTTTTTCAGTCAGTGGTGGAATATGTGTTATAACAGTGTGCTTCTGGAACATTATAGACGTATATATCCTCATATAGGCGCGAATCCTCTGTGGAAGCTTAGCTTAAAGTTTCCAAAGCTGACATGGGCAATTGCTGAGCTTGTTAAGCTCTTATAGGACAGTGACAGAGTGTGTAATTTGTAAACTATGTCAAAAATCAACAGCAAACACTACACAGCATCTTCTTATCCAATGCCCAGCCTTATTCAGTAGTAGAGATATGCTTCTTGACCATATTGTAAATACGATAACAGTAAACAATTATGTCAAATTTGATTTGTTAGATGAAGATGATCAGTATTTGTTTCTACTAGGGAGCAGAGGGATAGTAGAGATGGAAGACGATGAATGGGAGGATTGCATTGCTGGAGTCGCACGATGTGTAGAACACATGCTTTGTGAATTAAACATTCTTCTTGCGAACTGACATCTCTTAGATATCTGATGACGTCAACATTTGCAGTAATGATTGTTTAATATATTACCACTTAATTCCATTTATAATTTTATTAAAATGAAACGTGTTAATTAATTGTATAATAGGACATGATATGTGATCTCTGCATGGAGGAAATAAAGAAATTGTCTGTCTGTTAAAAGTAACTTACTGTACTGTTACAGGTAACTTACTGTACTGTTACTGTACTGTTACAGGTAACTTACCGGACTGTTACAGGTAACTTACTGTACTGTTACAGGTAACTTACCGGACTGTTACAGGTAACTTACTGGACTGTTACAGGTAACTGACTGTACTGTTGTTACAGGTAACTTACTGTCCTGTTACAGGTAACTTACTGTACTGTTGCAGGTAACTTACCGGACTGTTACAGGTAACATACTGTACTGTTACAGGTAACTTACCGGACTGTTACAGGTAACTTACTGGACTGTTACAGGTAACTGACTGTACTGTTGTTACAGGTAACTTACTGTCCTGTTACAGGTAACTTACTGTACTGTTACAGGTAACTTACCGGACTGTTACAGGTAACTTACTGTCCTGTTACAGGTAACATACTGTACTGTTACAGGTAACTTACCGGACTGTTACAGGTAACTTACTGTCCTGTTACAGGTAACTGACTGTACTGTTGTTACAGGTAACTTACTGTCCTGTTACAGGTAACTTACTGTACTGTTGCAGGTAACTTACCGGACTGTTACAGGTAACATACTGTCCTGTTACAGGTAACTTACTGTACTGTTACAGGTAACATACTGTACTGTTACAGGTAACTTACCGGACTGTTACAGGTAACTTACTGTCCTGTTACAGGTAACTGACTGTACTGTTACAGGTAACTTACCGGACTGTTACAGGTAACTTACTGTCCTGTTACAGGTAACTGACTGTACTGTTGTTACAGGTAACTTACTGTCCTGTTACAGGTAACTTACTGTACTGTTGCAGGTAACTTACCGGACTGTTACAGGTAACTTACTGTCCTGTTACAGGTAACTTACTGTACTGTTGCAGGTAACTTACCGGACTGTTACAGGTAACATACTGTACTGTTGCAGGTAACTTACCGGACTGTTACAGGTAACTTACTGTACTGTTACAGGTAACTTACTATACTGTTACAGGTAATTCAATGGACACCTGCAGGATGGTCTTTCTCGTACCTTGTAGAAATAGCATATACACATCAAAATGGTGTTTTCAATGTTTAATAAATGGGCACTTTGAATGAATGAATTGTTGATATCAGGGACGTATGATTAACATCCCTGTTTATATTGGTAATTTTATCTATATTGTTTCTTTTTTTTTATATCAAATGCGAAATTTATTTTATTTTTTCGTTCTCGGGAAAGAAATTATTCAATATAATCCTTTAAATGCCGGGCCGACCCAGGTACGGCATAAACTACCGCGACCAAAAAGGAAAGATGGCGGTTTTTGTTCAAGTAAATGACCATCGTGATGCTAATATGGAGTTTATACACTGTACGAGACATGACAACACCAAACGACATTATGTGTAGACAAAGTCATAGGTACTATATACCGCCACAACCGTTGCTATTGCGATTTCGGCTGTCATTGATGTACTTATTGGTGACGAGAGCGTGTTACAATCAAACAATAACATATACATGCATTACCGTAAAATAACAGTACATAATAAATTATGCCAAGCCGAAAACGACATACCAGACACTGTATTTAAAAACTTTGTTGCAGTAAAACATATTGACAGTGGGTTCGTACCAAGTCCCTGTGATCCTAGCGATCAATAAGGCCATATCACAACCGTTCAACGCTTACTCGTATAACGTTCAAAAAGAGTGCAACTTTGTACATGGAAATCCGAAGGATTTCTTTTACAAAAGATAAAGGTTATTCTATAAATTCCATGTATCAGACACTACTTAGTTATACGTTGGTGATAACAAAGTCTGTTGTATTACTAGAACAACATATCATTGACATGTTAATGTAATCTTAATCCAAACAAAAAACAAAATAAACAAGATCAAGTCAATCACGACAAAACACGGTCAATCACGAACAAAACAAGGTCAATCACGATCAAAACAAGGTCAATCACGAACAAAACAAGGTCAATCACGATCAAAACAAGGTCAATCACGATCAAAACAAGGTCAATCACGAACAAAACAAAGTCAATCACGAACAAAACAAGGTCAAGTCAATCACGAACAAAACAAGGTCAATCACGAACAAAACAAGGTCAATCACGAACAAAACAAGGTCAATCACGAACGAAACAAAGTCAATCACGAACAAAACAAGGTCAATCACGAACAAAACAAGGTCAATCACGAACAAAACAAGGTCAATCACGAACGAAACAAAGTCAATCACGAACAAAACAAGGTCAATCACGAACAAAACAAGGTCAATCACGAACAAAACAAAGTCAATCACGAACAAAACAAGGTCAATCACGAACGAAACAAAGTCAATCACGAACAAAACAAGGTCAATCACGAACGAAACAAGGTCAATCACGAACAAAACAAGGTCAAGTCAATCACGAACAAAACAAGGTCAATCACGAACAAAACAAAGTCAATCACGAACAAAACAAGGTCAATCACGAACAAAACAAGGTCAATCACGAACAAAACAAGGTCAATCACGAACGAAACAAAGTCAATCACGAACAAAACAAGGTCAATCACGAACGAAACAAGGTCAATCACGAACAAAACAAGGTCAAGTCAATCACGAACAAAACAAGGTCAATCACGAACAAAACAAGGTCAATCACGAACAAAACAAAGTCAATCACGAACAAAACAAGGTCAATCACGAACGAAACAAAGTCAATCACGAACAAAACAAGGTCAATCACGAACGAAACAAAGTCAATCACGAACAAAACAAGGTCAATCACGAACAAAACAAGGTCAATCACGAACAAAACAAGGTCAATCACGAACAAAACAAGGTCAATCACGAACAAAACAAGGTCAATCACGAACAAAACAAGGTCAATTACGAACAAAACAAGGTCAATCACGAACAAAACAAGGTCAATCACGAACAAAACAAGGTCAATCACGAACAAAACAAGGTTAATCACGAACAAAACAAGGTCAATCACGAACAAAACAAGGTCAATCACGAACAAAACAAGGTCAATCACGAACAAAACAAGGTCAATCACGAACAAAACAAGGTCAATCACGAACAAAACAAGGTCAATTACGAACAAAACAAGGTCAATCACGAACAAAACAAGGTAAATCACGAACAAAACAAGGTCAATCACGAACAAAACAAGGTTAATCACGAACAAAACAAGGTCAATCACGAACAAAACAAGGTCAAGTCAATCACGAACAAAACAAGGTCAATCACGAACAAAACAAGGTCAATCACGAACAAAACAAGGTCAAGTCAATCATTAGAGGAGCAGTTTGTTCCCACGGATTGGACATCATTTGTTGGAAGACCTTGCACCATATCTACATGTAAAGAAGATAATTTCAAGTAGAAGATATAGGTTATTTCGGAACGACAACGCTATATTTCAGTCAAGGAAAAGCATACACCAAGCTGGATATCTAAATAGGAGTAATCACGTATAGAATTTCACAAACTACTTACTTATATTATGAGTATATCTAAACAGAATCACAATCATCACCAACTTCGATACAATAACAGCCCTCCATATGTTCGGTATATAAAACCGTTTATATACTGGTTTTGTTGAATGCATAATCATTAACAAATGTATCTTCAATTGTTATAGGTGTGTCGTGGGTAAAGAGATTGCTCAGCTCACTAATTTGTCCCTGCCAGAAAATTCGTGTCGCCAGCGGGCACTGGTCTATATTGACCTCTTCGCTCCTCCGAGAGACAGACGTGCAGTTTACCGAGGGAAAGGAATGCACGTGGTTGACGTATGACGGACGCAATATTCGCGTGAGTTCATCTAATACTTAAAATCCGCGTGGAATGAAAAGTGTTCGTTGTTATAGTTCGTGATTGAAGAAGTTAAACACATTAACTCATACATTACGCAGAGGACGGTCTGTTACTGCTTGTTCTGTTGTATTACTGTCAAATACCTTATTTCCGCAAAGCCTTCCCCGGCTTTTCATTTCTCCTTTTATGCAGTAGTTATATCATTGTCCATCCTCGATACTCCATGGGTTACGATCACTACATCCTCGATACTCCAGGGGTTACGATCACTACATTCTCGATACTCCAGGGGTTACGATCACTACATCCTCGATACTCAAGAGGTTACGATCACTACATCGTCGATACTCCTGGGGTTACGATCACTTTCACTTTGTACATCCTCGATACTCCGGAGGTTACGATAACTATACATTCACGATACTCCAGGGGTTACGATAACTACATCCTCAATACTCCTGGGGTTACGATCACTACATCCTCGATACTCCGGAGATTACGATCACTACGTTCTCGATACTCCAGGGGTTACGATCACTACATCCTCGATACTCCAGGGGTTTCGATAACTATACATTCACGATACTCACGATAACCTCCGGAGTATCGAGGATGTAGTGATCGTAACCCCTGGAGTATCGAGGATGTAGTATTCGTAACTCCTGGAGTATCCTCGTAACTCCTGGAGTATCGAGGATGACTTTCACTATGAATTGTTATGTCCCCTTTTACTCACTATCGTTCTCCGAATGATTGGTTGATTTTATTCCGACAGACCTCCGTCGTCATGGAGAATGGAAAACTTGTGTTACATCAGTTAGACCCTCCCTTCGCCAAGATTACGCGGGAATTTGACGACCAGACTATGATTATGGTTTGTACTCCTATTTACACGCTAGCTTTGTTTTAGTGTTTGCCAACTTATAAATACACGCGCTTTTAAATGAACGCCACCAAAGCATTTTTTTGTGTGAAACAAAAGAGAAAAAACACTTTTCAATCGAATACCCTGAACCCAGGTCTCCGGCGTGATAATCAACGACTCTACCCCAACTGATCCATAGAACCACGCCCCATTAGCTGTGTGACAAAGATCGTATCTAACACCCATTGTACAGAACCTAGATAGCTGTGTGACAAAGATCGTATTTAACACCTATTGTACAGAACCTAGATAGCTGTGTGACAAAGATAGTATTTAACACCTATTGTACAGGACCTAGATAGCTATGTGACAAAGATCGTATATAACACCTATTGTACAGAACCTAGATAGCTATGTGACAAAGATCGTATCTAACACCTATTGTATAGAACCTAGATAGCTGTGTGACAAAGATAGTATTTAACACCTATTGTACAGAACCTAGATAGCTATGTGACAAAGATCGTATATAACACCTATTGTACAGAACCTAGACAGCTGTGTGACAAAGATAGTATATAACACCTATTGTACAGAACCTAGATAGCTGTGTGACAAAGATCGTATATAACACATATTGTAAAGAACCTAGATAGCTGTGTGACAAAGATCGTATATAACACCTATTGTACAGAACCTAGATAGCTATGTGACAAAGATCGTATATAACACCTATTGTACAGAACCTAGATAGCTGTGTGACAAAGATAGTATTTAACACCTATTGTATAGAAGGGTCAGTAGATAAGCGAACTTATTTCATCAACCAAAATGTTTCAGAACTGATTAATGCTAGTGAACATTATCGCTTCACATCTCATAATAACCCCTCTTAAAGCAGGAACAGGTGTTTCTCATATGGTGTAATTTTGACATCTCGAAATATTTTATTTATTGTACTGTGTACCTTTCAAGAAACAAAACAACTCTCATATTCCATATGTAAAAGTGCCTCGCCTTTACCGCACTGAGCGGGACTAAAGATGTGTAATTGTCACCCTTTTTTACTACCAAATGGGACGATAGGTTTGTAATCATGTCCCACAGGTGCCCGTCTTTTTACAATTTTACGTTTTAATTTTATATTCCCAAACAAATCAGTTAGTATTCATATTATTTTTTTATTACATCTACATGTAGGATCGTATTTTCATGTTTGTTTTCATTCCTGTTGATACAGACTTTGGAGGTGGACGGTGTGAAGGCCAGACGGATATACCAAAAACGAGACACCGCCATTACAGATAACAAAACGATCAACTGGTCGGGGATTTTGTTGTTTATGTTCGTGTGTCTCTCCACAGTTTCAATTGCCTGGTACTGTCAATTGTAGGACTCTCTCGGCTGAATTGTGTCACCTACTTATTTCCTTGTAGATGCAATAATGATCGAGCAAAGTTTCCTCTTTGCAACTACCCCGTTTGTTTATATAAATGATTTATTTTTCCATGTATAGATGTTTCAAACTCCTTTCGACATCAATATACCATGTTTTTTTATAACTGTTACATTAAACTTGTGTTGTTGTTGGTTGTTTTTAACCTTTAATTGAGCACACCAACACCCACCATATAAATCTAGGCCGATCCATGTAACGTTCTCAAAATGTGTATCGTGTTTCATATCACAAAAGGAAATCACCCGGCAAACTAATTCCACGTTGTCAAATGAGAACACCGATAAACTACCAGGCATCTTTTACGCATCAAACACTTCCAACTTCATATCGCAAAAGGAAAACGAATATGTCCCGGTATGTTTATTATAACAACCTTATTGTTTCTTCTAAAGCTTCATCAAGCTGCATCTATCAAAATTCTGTGTTGTGAGTTGGTGTCTTAGTTATCGACATCTTGCAAGAAAATCATGTTGAGAAGTTCTTGAGTATCGAATCAAATGCGACATGGAAATAAAATAGATCGGGGAAGATTGCTCTCCAAAAATGGAAAATTCACAATACTTTAATTGAGAGCACACAGCTTTGCAGAATGTTGTCCGTGTTGGTTACGTTGTTGGAAGAGATCGAGATAAACGGCTGATGTAAAAGTCTGTCATGTCCCTGATTTCCAATTCTTGTGATATATACGATTGACAAGGCCAATAATATTTGTGTCATTTAAAGACAAGACGTCATCAATGGAAACAAAATTGAAGGACTCGAAAAGTTCTTCGATAAAGTCAGCCTCGTATAGGGGAAAATCTGTCAAGAAAGAGGAATATTTTGTTCCCATATGTATGTCAATATCTACTGGAAGATCTTACCATCATACTCGATGAAGATATCGTTAACCTGATGTTCTATATGTTTTACAATTTCATCCTCTGTCTATTTCTGTTTTCTCGTACGGACGCTCCAGTGTAGTTCACAATCATAAACAAAAACAAACAAGAGATTCCTTAGAAATATTGGCGACAACCATTGTTTGATCTTTATTTGTTCTTTGAACGTTGAATATTTTCCCTTCTTTTCTCTCCTCTGTTTTTGCTATTAATGATAAGAAATTTGAACAATTATCTTTTGTAGAAACAGCGATAACTAGAAGTGTCGCCAGGATGGCGGCGACTAATACCCCCGCTCCCAAATCAACAATAGTTTTGGCGGGGTTGTCCCAACAAGATTCCTCCAAGAGGCCTTTAATGGTCACCATAGCAACCAAATGGAAACATTTTTTTTCGAAAATGTTATCATTGTATTTATCATCCACCTAAATCCTTTTATACCAATTTTCAACTAAATCAAATAATATCTTAAGTTTCAACCAATCCGAAGTGTTTCCATGGTAACAGTTAAGGAACACCTTTAATTAACTGTAGCATTTGATAAAGTTTAGATGAAAAGTGAAACGGGCACTACTATACATCATAGGGATGTAACATGCCAAGCTTGAGAAATATTGCCTCAGTACATTATTAGATCTACTTGACAATATTCCATACAGAATATCTACAGAAAGGGGCATAACTCTACCAAATGCTGTCGTAATTTTACGAAAAAGCAAAAACCAAAATGTCTGGTTGAAACCTGGTTTTTTGTTAATATTTATAACAATACAGACTAGTAGTATTTCATATCTCTTGTATACTGATAGAAACTTTCATTATAATAATAATAAGTAAAAAACACCATTTTGGAACTTGTTTTAATAAGATCATTGTTAAAGCAGGTTATACTCTGATATTTAGCTGGAAATGTGAGAGTAGACATGATGTGTATTTATACATTTAAATGTATACAAGTATATAGATTTATTAAATATCACAAGTAAGTTGGAAACAAGTAACTAAAAGTGTAAATCAAACTGATGAACCCAACATAACATAAACCTAATGTACATAAATATCTGTCTTTGGTAAAAAATGTACTGGCAAGCAACATATATGTTTATTAAGTAATTTTCTTTATCGAATCTTGATGAATTGATTACACCCAATAAACAAATCTACTTATAAATACTTTATCAATTCTGCACTCCATATTTAGCAAGCTGTTGTCATATTAAGGTATATGTCGACCACTTTCTATATCTACAATGTACGTTTTACACTAAATAAGCTGTGGTGTAGTTTATCTAATAAATTTGACACTTACCATACTGATCTTCCTTTATCAAACAAAACAAACAGTAACATCTACTGGTATATATTGATGTGATATTTTTCCACTTGTATATACATAAAACAATTAATATGTAAATAACCAATGGTAAATAGAGTAAACAAGAAATGTTTGTGGTTTATGCTATTTGTTCACTCTTGTGTTTCGGACAATAATCAACGAGAGTGTGTGTGACTGGTTTTTACCATAATAAAGGAAGTATTTTGAAGTTCTGTACCCACACATGTTTTGATGATGTCATCAATTCAGGTGTAATCACTCTAGTGAAAAACTCATATTGATGCAATGAAAATTTCCGAAATACATTGAGACATTGTAGCAGATCGACATTGATAACAATAATTAAATTGGACTTTTATCTTCAAAGCAAAACTAGAATTGCTATCCTGAGGATAACAACTCCCCCTCCCCCCAGACTCAACTGACCTCTATATATAAAATTTGTCAAAACTCCATGAAAAAAAAGTAACAAATTAACGAAAGTTCTGAAACACCTAATTATCCTACTATAGGTTTTAATTAGTTAATAAAATCTTTTGAATAACCAAGGAGTAATAGCCATTTATTGAAAAACCTGTTTAAAGTTACCATGGCAACCAACTTGCAGAAAAAAAACAAGGAAAAATCCTGTATTACATGTTAAATGGCAGTTTAAGGAAGGTGTGAACCAAATCTCAAATCAATGAATGGGATCCTCGGAAAATGGCTATATAAAGGTTAACTCTCTAAAAAACGATATGGTGGAATGTAGAATCAGTTAGGGGGCAACATTTCAATATTTTACTGGCCATTCCCAAAATTTTACTTTTAAATCTGTTGTAAACTGAGCACATCCTCATCTGGAAAAAGTTTATTAACGATAGACGGGCAGAGGGTAAGGTTAATCCAGTATACTAACTTTGTTTCTGGTGGTATAAAGAAGGAAAGAAAACACAAATAAAAATCAAATCATCACAAAATATTGTGTGTTTTAATTTCCCTGAGTGCATTCAGTGCCCTCTCAATCTAAGTGTATCATATCATCAAAACATACACATGGAATAAAATGGATGTGTATACAACAGTTGGGAAGATAAGTTGATGCCTTTGGTGTTGAATAAAACCCAGCTGTTGTGGTAAATATAAACCCTAAATAAAAAGAGAAAATTGAAATAAAATAATAAAGCATTATAGCATTATATCTCTCTCCTTGAATATATCGTCCAACAAATTCTCCATTTTCTTGTTTGTACCTCGAAGTCCAGCCACTACCTTTGAGGACCACACAAAATACTCGTGTACACGTTCATTAGTCCATCCACATGGCGTACACCTACGGAGGTCACGTAAGTTGTATATTTTATCTGCTAACTTTACTAACTTGGCTTTATAACTAGTGTGAGGTGCATGGTTGATTTGCTGCTGTTTTCTTTCCATCTTTGGTAATGTTTTGTCATCAGTAACTTCCTTAACAAGACCTGTAATCAATAATCAGGTTTTAATCACACTCATTTGAACAAGTTTTTTTCTAACTTAAGGAAAGTTGATTTGCCTATTGAATAAACAAACAGTTTTAATACAGATGTATATATATATTTTTTCACTTTAAAGAAATAGAATGTTGACATTAACATCTGAATGATTGCGCTGTAATTTGTTTTATCTGATAGTTCTGGTTCAAAATGTCACATGAAAGTATTTACAGCAAAAATATATAATTGTTGACCTTGACATTAAACCCTGTGACCTTTACTCTGGTCAAGCAACTTCTCATTATCAACAATGCTTCATAATATTTTAAGAAAATATTTGATAAAGTGATCATGACCTTAACATTGTACCTTTGACCTGTGTTCAGCTGACTTAATTCTGGTCAACTTTGTTTCATAATGTCATAACAAAATATTTGCCAGTATGATATTCAAAACTTGACCTTGACCTTTGACATGGTGATTTAGGCCTCTAGTCAAGCCACTTCTCATTTGATTTCAGGCAATTATCTTTTTAACATTGCAGGTCATAAAAACGCTGGGTATCTGTACATAACCCAAGAATCTTGCTGACCTCTGAACCTGAAAAGCAATCCAAAAATAGCACTTCCTTTTAAGAACCAATGAACAAAGTATGAGAGTAATCAACTCAATAGATTCTTTATCTATAGTAACAGTAACCTTAACCTTTGACCACAGGAACTGAAAACCAATTTCAAACACCCACTTTCTTTGAGTATAAAAAACTACGAAAATCATGAATTCAAGCAATTCAAACTGACTGGAATTTAGAGTCAGTATTAGTTACTGTCTCTATAGACAGTGACTTCAACTGATTATCTATAATCACCTTGTAAAAGAGAGCTGTAACAAAACAGGAGATAGTTAAAATAAAAAAAATACATTGCTTAATGGTAACATAACCTGATAACAAACCAAAATGTTTTATCTTACCACAAACTTCTGGGCCGAAATGTTGGTTCAGTTCATCAAACGAGGTATCAGTGTCCTCAACTGTATCATGTAGTAATGCTGCCTATAACAAGGGAGAAAATTCTGTTGTAGGTGTAGTAAGTGAAGTAATAGGATAAAGGTAAGTAAAGTCATAGGATATACCATCAGATAAAAGTAAAGTCAAAAGATATAGCATTAGATATAGGTAAGTAAAGTCATAGGGTATAGCATCAGATAAAAGTAAATTCATAGGGTATAGCATCAGATATAGGTAAGTAAAGTCATAGGATATAGCATCAGATATAGGTAAGTAAAGTCATAGGATATAACATCAGATATAGGAAAAGTCATAGGATATAGCATCAGATATAGGTAAAGTAATAGGATATAGCATCAGATATAAGTAAAGTCATAGGATATAGCATTAGATATAGGTAAGTAAAGTCATAGGATATAGCATCAGATATAGGTAAGTAAATCATAGGGTATAGCATCAGATAAAAGTAAATTCATAGGGTATAGCATCAGATAGAGGTAAGTAAAGTCATAGGATATAACATCAGATATAGGTAAGTAAATCATAGGGTATAGCATCAGATATAAGTAATGTCATAGGATATAGCATCAGATATAGGTAAGTAAAGTCATAGGATATAGTATTAGATATAGGTAAGTAAAGTCATAGGATATAGCATCAGATATAAGTAAAGTCATAGGATATAGCATCAGATATAAGTAAAGTCATAGGATATAGCATTAGATATAGGTAAGTAAAGTCATAGGATATAGCATCAGATATAGGTAAGTAAATCATAGGGTATAGCATCAGATATAAGTAAAGTCATAGGATATAGCATCAGATATAAGTAAAGTCATAGGATATAGCATTAGATATAGGTAAAGTCATAGGATATAGCATCAGATATAAGTAAGTAAAGTCATAGGATATAGCATCAGATATAGGTAAGTAAAGTCATAGGATATAGCATCAGATATAAGTAATGTCATAGGATATAGCATTAGATATAGGTAAAATCATAGGATATAGCATCAGATATAAGTAAGTAAAGTCATAGGATATAGCATTAGATATAGGTAAAGTCATAGGATATAGCATCAGATATAAGTAAGTAAAGTCATAGGATATAGCATCAGATATAAGTAAAGTCATAGGATATAGCATTAGATATAGGTAAAGTCATAGGATATAGCATCAGATATAAGTAAGTAAAGTCATAGGATATAGCATTAGATATAGGTAAAGTCATAGGATATAGCATCAGATATAAGTAAGTAAAGTCATAGGATATAGCATTAGATATAGGTAAAGTCATAGGATATAGCATCAGATATAGGTAAGTAAAGTCATAGGATATAGCATCAGATATAAGTAATGTCATAGGATATAGCATTAGATATAAGTAAATTCATAGGATATAGCATCAGATATAGGTAATGTCATAGGATATAGCATCAGATATAAGTAAATAATGTCATAGGATATAGCATCAGATATAAGTAAGTAAAGTCATAGGATATAGCATCAGATATAAGTAATGTCATAGGATATAGCATTAGATATAGGTAAGTAAAGTCATAGGATATAGCATCAGATATAAGTAATATCATAGGATATAGCATCAGATATAGGTAAGTAAATCATAGGGTATAGCATCAGATATAGGTAAGTAAATCATAGGGTATAGCATCAGATATAAGTAATGTCATAGGATATAGCATTAGATATAGGTAAGTAAAGTCATAGGATATAGCATCAGATATAAGTAAAGTCATAGGATATAGCATCAGATATAGGTAATGTCATAGGATATAGCATCAGATATAGGTAAGTAAAGTCATAGGATATAGCATCAGATATAAGTAAGTAAAGTCATAGGATATAGCATCAGATATAAGTAATGTCATAGGATATAGCATCAGATATAGGTAAGTAAAGTCATAGGATATAGCATCAGATATAAGTAAAGTCATAGGATATAGCATCAGATATAAGTAAAGTCATAGGATATAGCATCAGATATAGGTAAGTAAAGTCATAGGATATAGCATCAGATATAAGTAATGTCATTGGATATAGCATCAGATATAAGTAATGTCATAGGATATAGCATCAGATATAAGTAAAGTCATAGGATATAGCATCAGATATAAGTAAAGTCATAGGATATAGCATCAGATATAGGTAAGTAAAGTCCTAGGATATAGCATCAGATATAAGTAAAGTCATAGGATATAGCATCAGATATAAGTAAGTAAAGTCATAGGATATAGCATCAGATATAAGTAAAGTCATAGGATATAGCATCAGATATAAGTAAAGTCATAGGATATAGCATCAGATATAGGTAAAGTCATAAGATATAGCATCAGATATAGGTAAGTAAAGTCATAGGATATAGCATCAGATATAGGTAAAGTCATAGGATATAGCATCAGATATAAGTAATGTCATAGGATATAGCATCAGATATAAGTAATGTCATAGGATATAGCATCAGATATAAGTTATTAAAGTTGCAGGATATGAATTATGTTTCCATATCAATATAATGTGTTTATCACAAATTACACGTTTAACAGTAGGGGAGCTAGTGGGCACTGCATTCATACAAAGTACAATTTTGGCTTTGTGTATTACTACAAAATTCCTCGCTGAACACCACACTAACCTGGATCACAGCAATGTCTGTAATTCCTGCCTCGTCAGTCAATATTTTTGCCACGCCTATCAATAAAATACATCAACACACTAATGATTTCACTGGGTGATAAAAACTGATACTGTAACATATCTAGTAATAAAAATATTGCAGATGCTGGTAAATGGACCTATTATCTTAGAGATTAGAAAACAAATACAGGCTACACAACATACACTCTTCAAGCTAAAAATAAAACATTATAGATAGCCAAAACCCTTCAGACTACACATTACCATTCAGCCATGTGTATTTCAACTTCCAGCCACTGAAAATCTTACCACACATCATTCAGTGTTCATCACTTGCTGCATTATCGTCATTGTTGTCCATGAATAATACAGAGATAGATTTATACTTACTAGGGTCTGACCTGTCCTACTTGACATTTCTATAAAATTATCAACATCCTTAAGATTTGAGAAAATGCAATGAAACCCCTACACCTTACAGTCAAATGATTTTCACAAGTCAAAAGCATTTTCAAACATAATTATACATGAAGGCATTTTCTTTTTCACAGCTGAAATATCTTTATCATAAGCTGAATGTGAAAAAATCATTAATCAGTTTTCACAACCTTTGTTTCTGTTAGACAGGCGAGTATATGGTGTAAGTAGATAAATTCCCCTATGCATGATTTCACAATGGTTAATTGTGTAAGTTAAGTTTAATGAATTGTAAATGGTCTGAGGCCTTACAATATAGAAATATATTTCATTTCATAGTTTCCAAAATATAGTTTATACTGACAACATATAAATATATATGATTTTGGTTTATGGTCTGTCACACATCTACAAGTCATGTGTAATACAATTATTTTTTGTACTTTTTTTTTAACTAAATAAACTTGAACTGAAATGGTATGTTATTGTGACTATCATTTGTTGTGGTTATTATAAAGAAAAAAAACCCAAGTGTTGTACAAATCAAGGATGAAATATGGACATGTAATGACACAGATGTTTTTAACTATAAATGTGTAGATGAGAAGGAGGTAAGAAAGCTGTTCTCAGCATTTAATGTGAAAAAAGCTACCGGTGTTGATGGTATCTCGGCTAAGATTTAAAAAGCTGGTACAGAATCTTTTACACCTGTCATAACATCACTTTTTAATCGACATGCTCAGTTTGTTACTTTCCTGATGAACTGAAAAAAACACAGATTTTAGAGATTTTTAAGAAAAACAATCCTTTGTAGAAAAGCAATTTTAAACCTGTCAGTATTTTACCTCCTTTGCTAAAAAACATTTGAAAGGATCATGTATAATCATCTTCGTGAATTTTTAAACCTATTTTTAGTTAATTTCTGTCAACTTTCAGGACTGGTTATGGCAGTCTGTCCTGCTCAAGCCCTTGAAGACTGGAGGAGGGCCTTGGACAACCATCAACATGTTGGTGTAATTCTAATGGAACTGTCCAAGGCTTTGGACTGCATTCCACATAACCTGTTACATGGGAAGCTGTTGACTTCATCAGCAGCTACTTAGGTGGCAGGCAGCATCAGACTGGGACCAGTGAATGGGCTGACGTTACTAGTCCCTAGCTGGGATACCCAGGTCTGTTTCTGTCCTCTGGACACAAAATGCTATGCAAGTTACTCCCCTTTGAAAGTCTATACATTAAGTACATTTAGGTGGGTTTTTTTTCGCTACTTTTGGTATCTATTTTGAATCATTCTATTATTTTATGTTTTTTTTTTTAATTTCTCATGACCTGATGGTCTACTTTTAATGCACACTACATTAGTGTAAATTATGTCAATTTTCATAATTTGCTTTATAAGCATATATGTTACTTACACTTTGATAGTGTTTTAACTTTTTCTATTGTAACATTTATGTGATATACAAGTGCCCATTATTAATCACGTAACTCCTAGATAACTCTTTGTGTCTGTGATATTTCTTCATTACATAAGAAGTGAACATCATTGTCATATATATAGTACAATGTTTTATAGTCATGTTTGCCACAATGATAGCACTACAATGTTAGTGTTTTACTGTTTACCATATGTGACTTTAAATAAAACTTCATGACACTTGACGTGACCCTTGACCTTTGTATGTTAAACAACATGTCCATAAAAGGAATAAGAGAACACACTGGAGATCCGGTGTATTTAGTCTCAAATCACAAGATATTTTCAATATATTTCTATTTTAATTACTCTGACTTTTATGCACACCCAGTAAAGCACCATGCTGGTTATCTAACTTTAAGCTTTTAACAACTTAATATGGGTTATAGTCCTGCAATTACATGTTCTGCTTTGAGTAATAAATTAGTTACTCCAATGCTGGGTGTTTTGAAATAGAAACACAAAGTTCTATTTGCAACAAAAAAGGCATCATATTTTTTTACATGACCCAATAACCAATGCGACATTGTACTTTTTTACAAAAATAGTTATTCAATTTTTTCCATAAGAAAGGTCTAGCATCTAAAGATAGCCATACTGATATGGTACCAACACTAGGGAATGATGCCCCTTCATACGCTACAGTGAAAAGGTGGGTGGTTGAATTTTAGCATGGTAGGCACAGCCTTGGGGATGACGCCCGTCCTGGAAGGCATGTCACTGTTGCAACCCTAGAAATGGTCAATAAGTCCATCATATTGTTACGGCTGACAGGCGAGTTACAAAGAGATATATAGCCAGTACAGTTGGGATTTCAAAGGAAAGAGCACATTCCATTCTTACAGAAGATCTTGCAATGAGAAAGCTCTCAGCCTATTTGGTATCATGACTTCTGACAGTTGATCAGAAGAACACCAGGTGGATTTTGTTGCATGCTAATCTGAACCTTTTAGAGGCAGATCCAGCTAACTTTCTGCAGAGGTTTGTGACTATGAATGAAACATGGCTCCATCATTTCACCCCAGAGACCAAACAACAGTTTAAACAATGGAAGCACCCTTGTTCACCCCCGGTCAAAATAGGCAAAGACTGTTCCATCAGCTTGAAAGCTTATGGCCTTGGTTTTCTGAAATACTGATGGTAGATTATCTGCAAAATGGACATACAATCAAAATACGGTCTTACTTAGTAGATTCTGAATGCTGGCCATTAGACCTCTATACTCAGATCCAACTCCTGTCTTTTATGATTTATGTAGTCACCCCTGGATGATGTAATGCTTGTGTTGTCAAAAAGTACACTGAACATCCTGTCTTCTGATTTCCAGAGCTTGTCCAGCAAGGTCTCAAAGAAATTTAAAGTTGAAGATTGGACCGCATCCTCAGGCAAAGTTCCAGTTGTTAACAGCTTTCTGTGTGAACGAGTACTTCCTGCTGTTGAGCCTAGATCTTGACTTCTCAACTGTAATTGTTAATCCCTTTCAGCTCTTTTGTTCTGGTTCCCTGCAAAAGATGTTTTGGTCCATTCTTGTTGTAGAGGTCTCTTTCTTCTCATTTCACTGCACTCTGATTCTACTTCCTTCTGTGTCTTTATATAGACATAGTTTGGCCTTGTTTGTATCCCTACCAACTCTCATTACATGGCATTTATCCAGGTAAAACCTGAGAAGAACTTGGCCTTGTCTTGTATCCCTCCCAACTCTCAATACATGGCATTGATTTATTTTTTTATCCAGGTAAAACCTGAGGAGATCTTAGCCTTGTTTGTATCCCTACCAACTCTCATTACATGGCATTTATCCAGGTAAAACCTGAGAAGAACTTGTTCTTGTTTGTATCCTTCCCAAATCACAATATATGGCATTTATCCAGGTAAAACCTGAGAAGATCTTGGTCTTGTTTGTATCTCTCCCAACTCTCATTACATGGCATTTATCCAGGTAAAACCTGAAAAGAACTTGTTCTTGTTTGTATCCTTCCCAAATCACAATATATGGCATTTATCCAGGTAAAACCTGAGAAGATCTTGGTTTTGTTTGTATCCCTCCCAACTCTCAATACATGGTATTTATTCGGGTGAAACCTGAGAAGATCTTGGCCTTGTCTTGTATCCCTCCCAACTCTCATTACATGACATTTATCCAGGTAAAACCTGAGAAGAACTTGGCCTTGTCTTGTATCCCTCCCAACTCTCAATACATGGCATTGATTTATTTTTTTATCCAGGTAAAACCTGAGAAGATCTTGGCCTTGTTTGTATCCCTCCCAACTCTCAATACATGACATTTATCCAGATAAAACCTGAGAAGATCTTGGTTTTGTTTGTATCTCTCCCAACTCTCATTACATGGCATTTATCCAGGTAAAACCTGAAAAGAACTTGTTCTTGTTTGTATCCTTCCCAAATCACAATATATGGCATTTATCCAGGTAAAACCTGAGAAGATCTTGGTCTTGTTTGTATCCCTCCCAACTCTCAATACATGGTATTTATTCGGGTGAAACCTGAGAAGATCTTGGCCTTGTCTTGTATCCCTCCCAACTCTCATTACATGACATTTATCCAGGTAAAACCTGAGAAGATCTTGGCCTTGTCTTGTATCCCTCCCAACTCTCATTACATGGCATTTATCCAGGTAAAACCTGAGAAGATCTTGGCCTTGTCTTGTATCCCTCCCAACTCTCATTACATGACATTTATCCAGGTAAAACCTGAGAAGATCTTGGTCTTGTTTGTATCCCTCCCAACTCTCATTACATGGCATTTATCCAGGTAAAACCTGAGAAGATCTTGGCCTTGTCTTGTATCCCTCCCAACTCTTATTACATGACATTTATCCAGGTAAAACCTGAGAAGATCTTGGTCTTGTTTGTATCCCTCCCAACTCTCATTACATGACATTTATCCAGGTAAAACCTGAGAAGATCTTGGCCTTGTCTTGTATCCCTCCCAACTCTCATTACATGACATTTATCCAGGTAAAACCTGAGAAGATCTTGGCCTTGTCTTGTATCCCTCCCAAATCACATTACATGGCATTTATCCAGGTAAAACCTCATCTGACCATTGTTGTAAGTTATCCAACTCCACCTGCAGATTCTTCCCATCGCGAATGTCAGTGTACAATTTGGTATCATCAGCCAAGAGCCATGTAACAGATTCTACTATATCCGGTTAGTCATTAATATATAACACAAAGAGAGTAGGACCAAGGACACTCCCCTGTGGTACACTGATAGTGACTTGCCGCCATCCTGTTGTTTGACCATTCACTGACACTTGTTGTTTCTTGTCTGTCAGGAACCCCTTCATCCATTTTTATCCATCAATGATATTCTATATGTATCCTGTTTCCCTATTAGCCTCCGGTGGGGAACAGTGTCAAAGGCTTTCTGGAAGTCCTTGTTCACAACATTCTACACTACCACTTTCATCCAGTATTGCTGTCTACTAATCAATGACCTTTAGTTATTGTAATACAATTGATCTTCCTCTGATAAAACCAAACTGCCTTAGACTTAACAAGTTGTTCTTTGACAATTGCCCAATCACTCGAGTACAAACATTTTTATAGCATATATTACATATAACACTTGTATAACTAACTGGTCTGTGGTGTCCAGTTTGCCTCTTGTCTCCTATTTTGTAAATAGCTGTGGTCCTGGATTCTTTCCAAACTTTTTTGTATCTCTCCTTAGCCTTTCTGCCTGGGCCATGTCATGGCCCTGTCTGATGCCGTCAAATCTGGGGTTGGTTTTAAGCTGAACTATGGTCCTTAGTAATTCTTTCTTGGTGTCTAGACTATCTAACACAGCCAGTAATGGCCTCCTATCAGCCCCTTGTCATAACCTGCATTAATTCCACCTACCTGGTTTTTGAGTCATGTTAATAAGATGACGCCTTTTTAGTTGCAATTTTTAAAAGGAATTATCTGTATTTCTATTTCAATCACCCTGAACTTGAGTTACTAATTGGTCACTCAAAGCAGTAATTATCCCTCAATACAGGCCTATTATACCCATATGCGGAGTTGTGTCAAACCTGTATAACGGTGTAACTTAGACTGGTGAGTATGGAGTTAATTGGGTAGGTTCATTACTACAGATTAAAATCATACAAAAAATCACACCTATGGGATGGTTAATATATGGTGTCTGCTCTTCATCTTTCCTTCTTTGATCTTTGTGCTTTACGGCAGCAAAATCAATGCATCGTATCAGTTCGCTTACGTTGTCCATTTCTCACCGGATGTTTATAACTAAAGATAAACAATAACTAGGAAATGACAAGAAATCCGGATACAACATAGATAAATAATAAAGTCGCGAGAGAACTAGATAACAGGCTTCAAAAGATTTTTCCGGTGCGTACTTAAACTAAAACGCTTCTGACCCATAAGTAACCAACACTTTTTCTCGTTTTTATCCATTTTTGTTTTATTTTGTTTTATTTTGTTTTTTGTTTGTTTTTTTCTTCTGATTTCTTATTCTTATTACAGTTATTATAAATCACAATTTTACAAATGTAAAAATAATCTGTAAACTTAGGTATATTTCAGTTTTCTTAAACCTTATCAACATTACAATTATATCTTTACTATCATCCTCTTGTATAATAGTTTAAATATCACACGTATGTTACACCTAGAGAGAAGTAATTTAGACTTTTAGAATGAATACGTCTAACAATCAATATTTTCTATTGTAACCAACTACACTGACAGAAGATATTAGAAGATAATTTTACAGTCTTATACATGTAAACCTTTTTCACTAACTTATCACCGTTGTTGTATTATCTCCTCGTCGTTATTTGACTTGGACTTTAATTAAAGAAGGATAACTCTTCAAGCTTTGTCCGTTCCACGTGAGGGATAACCCCGTACTGCAACTGACCGCAGCCTGCGCTTGGAATCTGTCAAAAAGAAATGATAATATAACTATAAATGGCACGTGAAACATTCTTTTAGTTTTCTCTTTGTTGCTTATACTATAAAATATATCACTAATATAGCAACAATGACTGATTATATTGTAACTTCGTGGCCTGAATGGTACTTCCCGTTAAACAGAAAATTATGTGATTTATTTTCATAAATGGTACATGTTTCTTACACAACAAAACTTGCAAACGCGTTCCTTTATTTCTTACATTGTGGAGTATGTCGAATCGTGTTTGTATCGAAGAAAGTCTTTATTAAAAATATAAAAAATATAAAAACACAATTATGTTTTGGGTGTTTCATCTTTTTTTCAAATACTAATTTGTTCATGTATTTGTAAATACTCAATGTGTTTTGTCAGTAATCGTAAGATATTATGTTTCAATCGAAATGTTTTTAATGCCTTTCACTAAAGTTCTTAATTCTGAACATCTCAGAGTGCCCAATCAATTTCAAAATGAATTGACCCTATGTGTATTCTCATCCTCTAAACCCCTTCATAAATCCTTACCAATCATGTACGAATAAAGTAATTGATCAATTCTGATAAAACTACAGTCATGGTTCATTATAAAACTTTGCGTTCAGTTGATTTTATTCGACTGTAAAGGACGTTGGGGTCAATTTCAAAGGTAACAACATTAGTAACGGGTATGGCCACCGTTTGCGAAGTAAACAGCATTGCAGCGTCGTCGCATGGAACTCGTAAACCGGCGGATAATTCGAGGAGAGATGTTGTTCCATTCAGCGATCAAGGCTTGAGCCAGCTCCTGCAAGTTTTACGGCTGATTTTGGCGTTCTCTCACGCGTTGCCCAAGAACGTCCCAGACATGCTCAATCGGTGACAAATCAGGTGATTTAGATTGCCAATCTAACACCTGTACGTTATTCTGCTGCAAGAAAGTTCTGCTGACACGACTGGTGTGCGCTGGTGCGTTATCCTGTTGAAAAATGGCGCCAACGCCATGGCGTCTTAAGAATGGCAGAACCACTGGTCTTAAAATTTCGTCCCGATATCGAATGCCGGTTAAATTGCCATTTAACACAACAAGCCTGGTACGAGTCCCCCACAAATACCACCCCAAACCATTGCACTTCCGCCGCCAAAGCGGTCCCGTTCTGCAACGCAGCAGTTCGCAAAACGCTTCCCTCGTCGCCTCCACACTCTGCGCCTTCCGTCACCGTGTTGCAGACAAAACCTGGACTCATCTGAAAACAGAACATTGTTCCATTGTCGTAAGGCCCAACGACGCTGAACACGGGTCCAGTTACGCCGATTATTACGGTGACGTCGCAACAAATTGGGTCCAGTGTAGGGACGCCGCGCTTTCAATTGGTAGGCCCTCAACCTGTTGCGGACTGTTTGGGGAGACACCCGACGCCCAAACAATGTCCTTGTAGTCTCTACTGCGGTTACGAATCGATTGCGCAAGTGTATCAATCGTATACGACGGTCATCCCTGGCGGTCGTTTTACGGGGTCGGCCGCTTCGGTGACGATCGGATGTTGACCCAGTTTGGTTTAAACGACTTACCAAGTGGCAAATTGTCTTAACACTGCAACCAAAATGCTGTGCAACTCGACGGCGAGACTCCCCAGCCTGGATCATGCCTACAGCCCTTTCTCTCTGTACTTGTGACAGCCGGGGCATAATGATACAGTTGATAGATAGCAAGATTCGGTGATTTCTAAGTCCTAAGGATCTAACGAACAGTTGTCAGTTTGAATGTTTATGAAATTCAAGCGAAGATACAAGTTAGTCGCAGAAAACCTCGTGCAGCTCTTTCGTTAATACAGACTTTCACGCTTGAATGATTTTGGTAACGCCCTTGGATTTTGTAATGTAAAACATTACCATTTTCTAATATTGCACAAACGTCATTTTGTTTTCAATCATTTACAGGTATTCGCCCAGGAAACATGTTAACCTTTCTATTTTTGTTAAGTATATATATGTAGAGGATGTGGTGGAGGTAGAGGAGGTGGTGAGGGTAGAGCAGGCGGTGAATGTAGAGGAAGTGGTGAAGGTAGATGATGTAGTGAAGGTAGAAGAGGTGGTGGAGGTAGAGGAGGTTGTGGAGGTAGAGGAGGTTGTGGAGGTAGAGGATGTGGTAGAGGTAGAGGATGTGGTGAAGGTAGAGGAGGTGGTGAAGGTAGAGGAGGTGGTGAAGGTAGAGGAGGTGGTGGAGGTAAGAGGCTGTGAAGGTAGAGGATGTAGTGAAGGTAGAAGAGGTGGTGGAGGTAGAGGAGGTTGTGGAGGTAGAGGATGTGGTAGAGGTAGAGGATGTGGTGAAGGTAGAGGAGGTGATGAAGGTAGAGGAGGTGGTGAAGGTAGAGGAGGTGGTGGAGGTAGAGGAGGTCGTGGAGGTAGAGGAGGTGGTGTAGGTAAGGAGGCTGTGAAGGTAGAGGATGTAGTGAAGGTAGAGGAGGTGGTGGAGGTAGAGGGAGGAGGTGGTGGAGGTAGAGGATGTGGTGAAGGTAGAGGAGGTGGTGGAGGTAAGGAGGCTATGAAGGTAGAGGAGGTGGTAAAGGTAGAGGAGGCTGTAAAGGTAAAGGAGGTGGTTGATGTAGAGGAGGTCATGGAAGTAGAGGAGGTAAGGAGGTGGTGGAGGTAGAAGGAGGAGGTGGTGGAGGTAGAGGATGTAGTGAAGGTAGAGGATGTGGTGAACGTAGAGGAGGTGGTGGAGGAGGAGGTGGTGGAGATAGAGGATGTGGTGAAGGTAGAGGATGTGGTAAAGGTAGAGGAGGCTGTAAAGGTAAAGGAGGTGGTGGAGGTAAGGAGGCTGCGAAGGTAGAGGATGTAGTGAAGGTAGAGGATGTAGTGAAGGTAGAGGAGGTGGTGGAGGTAGAGGAGGTGGTGGAGGTAGAGGATGTGGTGAAGGTAGAGGAGGTGGTAGAGGTAGAGAAGGTGGTGGAGGTAGAGGAGGAGGTGGAGGTAGAGGATGTGGTGAAGGCAGAGGAGGTGGTAAAGGTAGAGGAGGCTGTAAAGGTAAAGGAAGTGGTGGATGTAGAGGAGATGGTGAAGGTAGAGGAGGTGGTGAACGTAGAGGAGGTGGTGAAGGTAGAGGAGGTGGTGGAGGCAGAGGAGGTCGTGGAGGTAAAGGAGGTGGTGAAGGTAGAGGATGTGGTGAAGGTAAAGGAGGTGGTGAAGGTAGAGCAGTAGGTGAAGAGGAAGTAAAGGTAAAGGAAGTGGTGGATGTAGAGGAGATGGTGAAGGTAGAGGAGGTGGTGAACGTAGAGGAGGTGGTGTAGGTAAGGAGGCTGTGAAGGTAGAGGATGTAGTGAAGGTAGAGGAGGTGGTGGAGGTAGAGGGAGGAGGTGGTGGAGGTAGAGGATGTGGTGAAGGTAGAGGAGGTGGTGGAGGTAAGGAGGCTATGAAGGTAGAGGAGGTGGTAAAGGTAGAGGAGGCTGTAAAGGTAAAGGAGGTGGTTGATGTAGAGGAGGTCATGGAAGTAGAGGAGGTAAGGAGGTGGTGGAGGTAGAAGGAGGAGGTGGTGGAGGTAGAGGATGTAGTGAAGGTAGAGGATGTGGTGAACGTAGAGGAGGTGGTGGAGGAGGAGGTGGTGGAGATAGAGGATGTGGTGAAGGTAGAGGATGTGGTAAAGGTAGAGGAGGCTGTAAAGGTAAAGGAGGTGGTGGAGGTAAGGAGGCTGCGAAGGTAGAGGATGTAGTGAAGGTAGAGGATGTAGTGAAGGTAGAGGAGGTGGTGGAGGTAGAGGAGGTGGTGGAGGTAGAGGATGTGGTGAAGGTAGAGGAGGTGGTAGAGGTAGAGGAGGTGGTGGAGGTAGAGGAGGAGGTGGAGGTAGAGGATGTGGTGAAGGCAGAGGAGGTGGTAAAGGTAGAGGAGGCTGTAAAGGTAAAGGAAGTGGTGGATGTAGAGGAGATGGTGAAGGTAGAGGAGGTGGTGAAGGTAGAGGAGGTGGTGGAGGCAGAGGAGGTCGTGGAGGTAAAGGAGGTGGTGAAGGTAGAGGATGTGGTGAAGGTAAAGGAGGTGGTGAAGGTAGAGCAGTAGGTGAAGAGGAAGGTGAGAAAGAGATTGATCAGATATTGTGTTACATTAGGAAGGTGTGTTTTTGTGACGACAGATACAATCACATTAGCGTATGGTTAACAAGTCGGTATGTTACTTATAGAAAGGACATATAAGTAATAGTATTTATTACATAGTGGCGTGTACGTAGCTGTTAACACGTGTATATTTAGATATATATTTATACATTACTATTTCACCAGACTAAATCTAACCAATTTTCTCACTTTAGCTTACTCCACGCAGGTAATAGTGAAAATCTATGA